GTCTTGTACCAGAATAAGAAGATCTAATTATGTTTACTCTGAGCCTACTCCAGAAAACTAATCCTATATTTATTCTTCTGTTATGATTATGATGTTTACCAAATTAAATTAATTGAATTGGAAACTTTATCTCCTAGGAACTGAACCAAAAAGGTTTTTTATTTTAAAAATAAAACTTTTCTCTCTCCACCCCCTCCTATATACCCCCCTTTTCCCCCCAATCCAACAATATCAGTAAAATTCCGTTGATTAAATCACCCCCACTCTATAGTTTATACGGGCATACATTTAAACATATTGTTTTGAATCTTCATGACAGAAACAAACCTCAACGAATAATAATTGTCCTTAATACTCTTAAAAAAGTGAATATTTGCTAAAAATCTCTTTTTTTACATATCATGATCGGAGTTTTTTTTTCATTTAAAAAACGTTTTTGTTTTGTTTCTATTCATGTATGTTGACATTGATAGTCAAGCAAATCTGAGTTGTACCTGGATAGATACGTGTTTGAGAAACTGTTATGGAGTAGGGCATTTACTACAAACCCAGACCGAAATATATTTTTAAAAATGTGGAACCAACACCTACATTTATTAACTCTATAGGTTTGTATCATCATCAACATTGAATTAAATTTTTCTCTCTCACTCGATGTTATAAACAACCTTGACCCACGCTCCTGGACCAAACCTTTTAAATTGTTTTTCCCTTCAGACACCGGTCATGTTTAATCCTTAGGGTGAAATCATATCCTTTAAGATACCTGATAAGGCGACCAATCAGAAGCTATAAAAAAATATTATCTTGTCCGAGAGGGTGATCAGGAAAAAACCTCAGCTTTTTTCTCTGATCAAGCAATTATTAATCATAAATAGCTGGAAACTCTTGTCTTGAATACCCTTATTCCCGTTCGCTCAATCTTGATATCCACTGTGGACAATTTTGATTTTCTGTTTAAACCTCTCTTTTGGATTTCCTTGCTGGGTTCCAACCATTTAGAGTGCTCTTATTGGATGCGCACAAAATTCCCGGCTTCTTATTGGCTGCTCGGTTTCTGCAAACGACACTCTCATTGGTTAACACTTTCCTGGATATAAAATAAAGATTAGATTAATCTGCAGATTAATGAAGCATTTCTCACAATTCAAAAGTTTCTAGCTCTGGTAAGCCTTTAAGTTAGCCGGGAAAATATAATTTGGAGGAAAAATACAAAGGAGTTTAGTTTTTGCCACTAACTCTGATTTTCTAATCTCTATATCTTTGTAATCCAATGTCATAGACCTTAAATATTTTAAACTATTAATACTTATAGCTAAAATAATCTAATTTTAAAATATCAAAGGTTGCAAAGATATTGGGATCAGAAGATTTGAGTTTGAGGCAAAAACTCAATTCCTTTGATCACGTGGGATACAATCATGTCTGCAGCATTATAGTTTAAACAAATTGTTTTTGAAATTCCTCAACTTTATTCTCCTCCGCCTAAATTTCTAGCCAGCTTTAGCCTTACATTAATAGTAAAATGTTTGATGAATCGTGTTTATATCCCGGATATTGTGCGAACCATATTATATCCCGGAAATGCGAACCATGAACAAAACAATGAGATTGTATCTACGTTTAAGGAGGGAGAACAAACTTAGAATTTTTCTAATTAAAAAAAATTGTTTACTTATTTACTTAGGTCTAAAACATTTGTAAGTTTAATGTTTGTCGATTTTTCAAAAATCAAATTTTTTCATGCTAAAGTGTCAATGTTCTAAACAAACTTAAATAAATATTATAAATTTGTAATTCCTTTACGATATTTCCTTACATTCGATTCTTAATTTTGTACAAAATGTTAATTCTTTATAAACAAAATTTTCTGTAGGACTCACTTTACTTATAAATTTGTATGATTCAATCTAAAGTCTTAAAGACGGATAAAATATGCCTTTTTCTAAATCTAAGGATCTTCAAAGTTTTAATCTGGAATATTTCATTTTTGTGTGACTAACTGTATTCCATAGATATTTTAAGAAATCAAGTATTTTTTATATTTTGTTCTTTTAAAGTTTTAATCTGAAAGATTTCAGGATTTGAAGGAAACTGTATTTTCAAGATTTGTCTAAATCTTGATATTATGATAAGTTCGTATAAATTAATTTATAATCTTAAAAACTAATTGTATTTTATTTCTTTTAAATCTAAGTATTCCAAACAAATTTTTCACTTTATTCCTTTAAAGTTTTAATCTGTAATATATTACATATTTTGTGTGACTAACTGTATTTCCAAGATTTGTATAAATCTTGATATTATGATAAGGACAGCTGTTGCCTGAATAGGCAGTGTTTACAGTCTATACAAGATATTCATACACTGTTTATATATTTAGTTACTTTGATATTGATCTAGCTTATATCTGTTCATTTAATCTGTTTATTTTTTTGTCCTATTAACTCGCTCCTTGGTTACTATTGGATATTATTTTACTTCATAAGAATCTAATTAAGTTGTTTACAATTTTTAAAACCTTATATTGAATTAATTCTGTTAAATGAAACTGCAATTAAATATGTCACACTTTTGTGTGCCGAGTCCATTAGCGCCTGATCCAATCAGGGTTCAGTCATGTGTTTGATGTCTATTCTGAACCAATATAAATAGTATGGCGGTAACATCTATCTTTCTATCTAGCTCATTATCCAATTAGAGATATGAATCCTTCAATCGGCGCTATCAATAAATGGAAATATTTACTTCTACTGAAACTATAGTGAGGACATCTTTGCATGGAGGGTCTCTTGAGTTTGCGCTTACAGTCCCTTTAAGAGATATGTTTATGTTTTCTGGGAAAGGATTGTTCATTTCTTGTTAAATTCTATATTTCTCTCTTCTAGCTAGATTAGAATAAGACTGCTTGGTTAAAGGGACTGTAAAGGAACAATTAAAGGGGGTATTGGTATAGGCTAAAGGCTAATCACTTTAACTCTTGATTGCGACCAATGAGAGTTCTATCTGATGTTCCTGTCTCGAGATACTGATGTAAAACCATGTCAAAGGAATTAAGTATTTGCCGAAAAATTGAATTTGTTAACACCTAAATCTTTCCAATCTGACTTAGACTTTTTGATCCAAAAACTAAAGATTGAAATTTCACAGGTCTACGAAATGTGTTGTAAATATAATGGATTAGAAAATCAGAGTTTGTGGCCAAGACTCAATTCCTTTACACGAAAATTCATATATATACAATTTTTTAAAGAAATGGTAGGTAATTAAACAGATCATATTCAGCAAATATGCAACCAATCTGAAAACTTAATATTATTGTTAATATCTAGGTCATGCTTAAAGGAACTGCAAAGGAAAAATGAAAGGGGGTATTAAACTAATCTGAAAACTAATTACTTTAGCTCTTGATTGCGACCTATGTATGTTATATCTGATGTTCCTGTCTCGAGAAATTGATATAAACTGTGTCAAATTTACACCAAAATTCATATATATATACAATTTTGTATAGAAATAGTAGGTTTAAACACATCATATTCAGCAAATATGCAACCAATCTGAAAACGAAGATATCCCAGAGAAACCTAACTGTAACTTATATTTTTTCCAATTATTATTTTATAATTTTTGATTTGATGTTTGTTATGGAATGACTTATAAATAATATTATAAATTATATCTATTAAAAATGAAAATAATAATTATAAATAATAATTGGAGAAAACCTAAGTTACAATTAGGTTTATCTGGGATATCTTTGTTTTCAGATTGGTTTCATATTTGCTGAATATGATCTGTTTAAACCTACTATTTCTAAAAAATTGTATATATATGAATTTTCGTATACATTTGACACAGTTTATATCAATTCCTCGATCCAGGAACATTAGATACAAATTTCATAGGTTGCGATCAAGAGCTAAAGTGATTAGTATTCAGTCTTTTACCCCCCTTTTCATTTTTTCTTTACAGTCCCTTTAAGCCTGACCTAGATATAACAATAATATTAAGTCCCAGGCAATGCTGTTTTATCTAGGTTAACTGAAGAAAAATATATATTGTCAGGCTTTTGTTGATGATATTCTTAGTGTAATATTTTTATTTTAAATATTTAGCTATTTCTGCACTTCTTCGTTTATATGTCCATGGTTAGTGTTATTGTTGTGAATATTTTTACGGTAAACATGGCATTAAAGGGTCTACTAAACTCAGGGGTTTACTGTACACCTTGCATTAAAGGGTCTACTAAACTCAGGTTTTTACGGTACACAGTCCATTAAAGGGTCTACTAAACTCAGGTTTTTACGGTAAACATTGCATTAAAGGGTCTACTAAACTCAGATTTTTACGGTACACATTGCATTAAAGGGTCTACTAAACTCAGGGTTTTACTGTACACCTTGCATTAAAGGGTCTACTAAACTCAGATTTTTACGATACACATTGCATTAAAGGGTCTACAAAACTCAGGTTTTTACGGTACACATTGCATTAAAGGGTCTACTAAACTCAGGGTTTTACTGTACACCTTGCATTAAAGGGTCTACTAAACTCAGGTTTTTACGGTACAAATTCCATTAAAGGGTCTACTAAACTCAGGTTTTTACGGTAAACATTGCATTAAAGGGTATACTAAACTCAGGTTTTTACGGTACACATTGCATTAAAGGGTCCACAAAACTCAGGTTTTTACGGTACACATTGCATTGAAGGGTCTACAAAACTCAGGTTTTTACGGTACACATTGCATTAATGGGTCTACTAAACTCAGGTTTTTACTGTACACATTGCATTAAAGGGTCTACTAAACTCAGGTTTTTGATTCCTTTATCTTTGCAACCTGATGATGTCGTAGACCTTAGATATTCCAAACCATTAATTCTGTTAGATTAAAGATCAGGTTGCAAAGATAAATGGATTAAACAAATTGAGTTTATTGCAATAAATTAATTTCTTTACGCGGTTTGTCCCTTTAAGTAAAGGATGAATATATTAAATGCTCCGTAATATCCTGCTCTGAGTTCTGGTTTCAGATCCTAGCAGATTATCCAGTATATCCTATATACACTGCTGCAGTTCTACACCCAACCCAGAGCAACACCCAGAGACACGTCCTACACCGTCAAACACACACTTCAGACACTCAGCTAGATTTCAAGTGAAAATAAATCCAAGATTGTAGAAACCTAACTAAGCCTATACAATGCAAAATTCTCAGCATTTCGGGTTTGAGAGAGAGGCCCCGCTGCATAATTCAAGCCTATTTCAAGCAGTGCATTACAAACCTGGTATCCAGCCAGTTATATGCAGTTTCAAATAGGCTTTACACCGGGGACACTCAGCTGATTTAGCTCTTTAAAATCCGCAAAAACAAAAGTACAAGAATGAATGTGTACGGTTTACGTAACAGTGTTCACGTCACACGAGAGATTTTTTTTATCAAACATCGTTATCGTGTGAAATATCTTGAACAGTTTTTTTATATCAGCATTTAATTTGAACAAAAGCCATTTTTAATTTGACTGAAAAATAGGTAGGTAAATTACTTATCAAGGTGAACATAGTATAAGACACATCGTGAAACCTAAGTTTTGATAGATTAGTGAAAAGATTATTAATTTAACTTATTCTTATAGTGCAGTGGTTAAAATTTGCGCTTAGTATAAACAAAGAGATTAGAATATATATTAGAGTGGAATTTACTTGAAAAAATTGTAAAACGGCCATTTTGTTGTACTGTTTCCATATTACAGGTGTACTTCACATATTTGCATATAATTTGTGAACATTTACATGATTTGTACACTTTGAACTCCCTTTCAGGCTGAAAGGGACTGACAAAATTCATACCGAGGGATTTTCTAAATTCCACTCTAATATATATTCTATTCTCTTTCAGTATAAGGGATGCAAATAAACTGAGTTGTTGACACATTTGTCATTCCTAAATCTTTGCAACCCGGTGTCGCAAACCTTTGATACTTTAGTCTATGAATTGTGCTAGAAAAATTATCAAAGTTTAAAAAGTAAAAGGGTTACACGAGCAAATTGCCAAGATATAGGTATTATATAATGTCAGAGTTAGTGACAAGAGATTGGTGCTATCAGGATTAGGAACAAATAGTGCAATTTTATTCCGCTGTATTGTTTTTAGATTTGAAAAGAAGACAACGATGTCTGGACTAGAGAAATGGGAAGATCTAATGTGGGACAGGGTTCCTCATCTAGTAAAATATACCAGGTATAAACGGAATTTACAGAAAATTATAAATTTTCCAGAATTTCGGGAGTTTACTGAATATTTCGGAATAGCGTTACGTTTCTTTTTCATTATGGTGCAGTAAAAATACTAATACACGTAGCTAATCCTGTATATGGCTCTTGTAAAATATCAAAAACTTTTACATAGCCACCGCTATAAAATATTAAATTTCGATTATCTGCATGGTATTATATAGGCGAAAGAAATGGAGTAATTGCAACAAACTTTGTTTTTCTAATCCCTATATTTTTGAAACCCAATGTCTTAGACCTTAGATATTTAAAAATATGAGTTATACTAGATCAAATTATCTAAGTTGGAAATTTCGAAGGTTTCCACTATCAGAGCTGAAAACTTTAGAATGATGGATATCAAGATTAATGATTAAACTCCTGGTTTTACTGAACCCGAGATTATTTTAATACGCATTGGATATCCAAGAAAGAAGTTTAAAATTGAGAGTGTCACTGTCATGTTAAGATGTACTCTTTAACTTTTGAAAACCGGTTTTTATTTCTGGTGTTGATGGTGTCATATCAATTGAACTAAGCATCGAATGAACGAAAGTAAATTTGGATTAATGTTTATAAAAACTACCGTTTAAAATGATAATAGTCCTAAAATAGGATAAAATATGTTGTTTAATAAATTCATATTAACATGATTAAATTTATATTTGTTTTAATGCTCTAAAAGCCGGATTGTGAACAGCTGCCTTTAATTCAATCGGATATTAGTCCAATCGATATAGCATTGTATCTGTTATTGTTATCAAACGTAACTTTTATACAGTAGGGATATCCAAAAAAAGAAGATTAAGAAGAAAATCAAAAGTGCGTACATTGGATAATTAGATTAAGCGATCGTGATTAAGGATAGCTCATTCTAAAGTTTCAGCTCAGGTTCAATTGATAAAGGGATTAGTTTGTGGCAAAGATTCAATTTCTTTCTTGGTGTGAGACAAAAATTTCTTTTATACCTTACAAAAAAAACTAAAAAGGCGTAAAAAACAAATTGGAAGATTTCTATGTTTTAAAGGTTTAAGGTCACTTCCATCCATTGAAATGTTATTGGTAAAAAAAAGTATACAAATTACAGTTTAGGCAAATGTACAAGGGTTGTACTTTATTCGACGATTCTTTTTGTTTTGCCGTAAACGTATTGTCAGTCTGGATTCAATTGAATTGCCTCCCAAAAATGACGCAAGTATTTAAATGTTAAACTTAAAAGTTTGACAACGATTTAAGTAATTCAGACAATTTTTATCATAAATGCATTAAGTACTGATGAAGACTAATGGATGACAGGCCGAATCTGAGACTAAATCAAGTAAAATAATTAATAACATCTTGCAAACCAAGTTTTTAGCAAATAAAAGCGTTTGATAAGGTTAATATGTCCGACATCCTTTATCAGTCAAAGGAATAAAGGATAATACAAATAGATTGCAAATAGAACAAAAAAAATAGAAAAAAATAAAATAGAACAAAATATAATAGAACAAAATAAAATAGAACAAAATAAAATAGAACAAAATAAAATAGCATAAAATAAAACAGAACAAAATAAAATAAAACAAAATAAAATAGAACAAAATAAAATAGAGCAAAATAAAATAGAACAAAATAAAACAGAACAAAATAAAATAGAACAAAATAAAATAGAACAAAATAAAATAGAACAAAATAAAATAGAACAAAATAAAATAGAATAAAATAAAACAGAACAAAATAAAATAGAACAAAATAAAATAGAGCAAAATAAAATAGAACAAAATAAAACAGAACAAAATAAAATAAAACAAAATAAAATAGAACAAAATAAAATAGAACAAAAAATAGAACAAAATAAAATAGAACAAAATAAAATAGAACAAAATAAAATAGAGCAAAATAAAATAGAACAAAATAAAATAAAACAAAATAAAATGGAACAAAATAAAATAAAACAAAATAAAATAGAACAAAATAAAATAGAACAAAATAAAATAGAACAAAATAAAATAGAACAAAATAAAATAGAACAAAATAAAATAGAGCAAAATAAATGTTCAAAAATAATTTACATACTTGAACAATTCTAGATCCATAATACTAATACATTATGCACGTTATATCTCATATTTTTACTTTGTTACATTAACAAAAGAGCTGATGCCAGATTAACTATTTTTTAATTAGCTAAACATTTAAACCTTCATGAACAATGTTGAAATATCGTTCAATTAGTTTTGCAAATTCTAGCTCAAGTCGGTTATATTAATGGAAAATATTTTTAAAAATTAATTTTATTTATTCTAGAACCTCGTTGGACTGGGTTGATAGTTACGTAAAACTAACCTTTGGACTTCAAAAACTTCACAAGGTCAGATAAAAAATATTAAGAAATAAAAATAAGTTTGAAGTTTGAATGGAAAATACGGTAATAAGAAATGAAGTAACAGATATCACAATTTTACAATTGTCGATGATTTTACTTTAAATCCTTATTTTGAAATTATATTTCTTATCATGACGTTTTAATGTAAGCTGTTCAGCTGATAAATATGCAAATTATTCATTGAACTTATAAATACATATTGATTCAGCAAAAGTAACAATGTATTCTCGTTAACTGTAGTAGACTTTGACATCTACCATTAGCTAAGGGTGTGAACCCATTCTTGTTGACTGAAGTAGATTTTGACATCTACTATTAGCAAAGGGTGTGAACCCATACTTATTATATTTATTAATTACATTAAATAGGAAACCCTTCAGGATAAATAATCATTTTATGAAAACCTTTTACAAGATCAAGATTTTCTTTTTATCAATTAAGAGAGGGAAGAGCATTAAGGAGTTTTTGGAATTAGGAACACAAATAAATCATTCTCAGAGAGATGATCTTAGGGTCCAAAAGATCTAAGTTTGGAACAGTTGTATATGGGGATATCGAGATCAATGCTTGATCTTGATCTTTTGTTAAAGGGAGTGTTCGCGAAAAATGAAAGGGGGTATAGGCTTAATGCGATAAAGAAGCGCATTTTATCGCTACTAATCTTACTTCTATCTGTTGCGTCTATAAGGAGAAAATTGTTAAAGACGTCTCATACCGAAGAGCGTAGCGCCCATACAAAATGAGGAAGTTGGAACATACGACTTAGACCGTAAAAAAATCAAATTAATATCAAACAAATCATTCAGATATTACAAACTATAGTCTTCGATTATCTTTCGCAACATTTGTATATATTTGATATTTCATACTAGTTTTGATTTTTTTTTTGAAATAATATTTAGCTTACAACTTGTTTTCGAACATTCCTGGAAAATATGAAAATGTCGTCTTCATTACCAAAAATCCTCGAAACAGGAATAAACGTTTTTATAAGTAACTCTCAGATCATAACAATTAAAACATATTATGAAAAATCAACTATATATAAATGTGGCGAAAGATAATCGATGACTTTAGGTTGTAATATCTGAATGATTTGTTTGAAATTAAATTGATTTTTTTACGGTCTAAGTCGTATGTTGCAATTTTCTCAATTTGTATGGACGCCATGTTATTCGGTATGAGACGTCTCCTTATAGACGCAACAGATAGAAGTAAGATTAGTTGCAATCAAAAGCGCTTTTTTATCGCATTAAGCCTATACCCCCTTTCATTTTTCGCAAACACTCCCTTTAATCTGCAGATTAATTTAATCATTTTTCGATATTTCTTGTTGTTAATTTATTTAAATGTTACTAAAGTGTCCAAGTCTAAATCAGTCATACTGCAATTCAAAAAATGTTATTTATTATTGTGATGTATTTTTGTATATTTGTAAACAAACTTCAGAACCTTGTTAATTGTGGATTACAAGAAACCCCTGTAGAACTAATGGTTCCAGGAATCCACAAAGTGCCTTGAGCTGAAAATCTCCGAAATTATGAACAACCGTCAACAAAAGAGTAAAATGAACTACAGGGGGGGGGGGGTTATAGTTAAAGCAAGTGATGTCATATCTTTAACATATTTGGATTTATCAATGTTTAGGATTACTCCAAAGGTTTGATGAAACTAGTGAAATTACAACGAGACAAGGTGATTATTTTTCAGGGCTAGATATTTTCCTAAACTAAATTTTGATGATTTTATTGGAAAACTAGCGTTGCCAAGGGTACTTATAGTTACTTCCACCGGTTACCCGCACTTGGTCGATTTTTACCGGGAAATAAAGTCGATCCACTCAACTTAGATTTTCAAAACAAGATTAAGAACATTTACGTGACTCTCTCGATTTTCCCCATTCAAATTTGAGGCAAATCAGTCCAGGGGTTCCCGAGTAAAAATTGGACAAACAAACAGAGAGACAGACAAACAGACATTACAACTTTATATATAGCTAAAGAAAAATATTAGAAGATTTTGTTTGCTTACAGTAGATTTTATTTCAAAAACTTAAAATACACTCTAGATTTTTTCTGGCTTTAAAGGTCAGCAACATTTTAAACTTTAATCAAACTGTAAAATTGTATAATAAACATCAAAGTTGGCATTTATTAAAAAGAAAGTGTTTACTACCAACAAATTATAATTTTCTGATACCTAGATATCTTTACAACCTGATGTTGCACACATTTGATATTTCAAACACTGAATTCTGGTATATCAAATATTTTAAGTATAAATTGTTAAAGTTTGCACCATTCGGTTGCAAAGATATAGGGATTAGAAAATTAAAGTTTGTTGCAAGAAAAATCATTTATCCAACAAACGTCAAAACTGATGATCGAACCGATTGGGCCAATTTATTTTGAAGAAAAACATGACTCCAGTTAAGTTTGAAGTATTTTGAAAATTTGATTGTCCATAAACCTTCCCTGGGGTCACGTGAGGTCGCATAAAAAATTTGTCGTTTTGACGTTTTCTGGATACAAACAAACAGACACCCAAGCAAAGTTATATATAGATCAAATCTGTTCATGAAAATATGTGGAAGGAATGATGACATGACATCATCTAGTGATCTAAATTTCTACTACCCAGAAAAAAGCACTTTATCATATTACAATGTTGAATGTATTGCTCACAGTGGACTAGGGTAAATTTGAATTAGAACCGGACCGACCCCTTGTACCGGCCTAAGTGACGCGCGGCAATACCCGCCCCACCTTATCCAATGTCATGGCCCGGTTTCAACTTTGATGGCGCGGCCCGACTTTTTACAGTACCCAGTCTATCATAGGCCTATTTGACCTATCCCTGCACTAGCTTAGTTTATTGTGTGCTTAGGGTGTGGACGGGAGAAGTATGGGTAAATGCTGGGTAGGTGTTATCGGACATCTTGGTACAGTCTCAGAGAAACATAAACAACTAGCAACGGTTTTAGGTAAACAACTTACAGCTTTAGTTAATTGCAGTACGTTTGTTAAAGGGATTTTAAACGTGGTTTAAGTGATCGTTTTTTTTTCACAAAGTGTGTTAATTTTTACTGCTGCAACAATCCAAAAGTAATATTTTTAGAGAAACCTTAATTTAAAGTAATCAATTTTAGGAAGACAAACATGAATTTCTCATTCATCCTTGACCAGGCAACGGATTTTAAGTTTTCTGTTGTGAATCTGACAATCCGCTCTATAAAGTACCACTGTGCAATATTATTTTATTCTAAATCTTATTATATTGCGCATTTAAAATTATTTCGCAGATTAGCACACTGAAAATTGGACATCAAAATTAAATATTTTCAATTTTGGATTTTGAATGAATTTTGTTCAGGTGATGTAGGACGGAAATATCAAGATGAAGCTGAGTTGCTGTTAGAAGAGCAAAAGTATGTAAATGGAATTGAGTTTTTGCAATAAAGTTTTCTAATCCTTAAAAATTTGCAACCTTATGGTGTAAAGCTTATTTGATCTATCATAATTCATGGTTTGAAAATGTCTAGGGTCTACAATATTGGGTTGCGGTTGCAAAGATATAAGGATTAGAAAATTAGAGTTAGTAATAATAAAAATAATAAAAAAAACGACTTGTGAATGAGAACACAACATTTCCTCATGAACATTTCAGGCTCAATAATATAAAAATGTTTTGTCAGATGATTTAAAAACAATCTGTTGCATTGTAAGTAATATAATAAGAAGACGACTTTATAAATAACAAATTTTATCTTGCTTTTGCTTCAAACTTTAGTTCTATTTAGAAAATAGTAATCTTTAAATTGGCTTGTTTTGAGGTTAGTAAATAATGCCAATTAAATTTTAAGATAATTTATCATAAATTAAATACCACTTAAAGCTTATTAAAACTTAATTAATATTAAACACTGCAGTGCTAAAAACTTTAATTTGCATCACAGAAAGATGAGAAGAAGATATTTCAGTACTGTTATGAAATACAAAATCTTGTTTCTAGAGAAATTTAATCTTTAATTAAGAATTTAATCTCACCAAAATTCAAATATTTTCTAGATTTTAAATTCAACGTTAGTTAAAATTTTTTTTTATTTTTTTGTACTAGATTAATCTTTAAAAATATTTTTGTTCTTTTAGGTTTTTTGATATGTTTGATACATTTCTTGAATTTAATATTGCAATTTAAGAGTAAACTCTACAAAATTAACGCTATTTGCCACAAATACAGGGATTTCTAAAATGTGGTTTTCCTGCCTGTTTTGTACCTTTCAAATTAACAGAAATATCTGAACTCGCTGTCGTAAATGGAACCTTTTAATTTGATGTGAATAACGACTCATTCTTTTAAACTGTGTTATTGCAGCTGATTTAAATTTCCATGATCTCTTATATCAGGTACCGAAACGGATTAAACTAATCCATCAGACCACGAAAAATATTGATTAGCGATTTCTAAAAGTTTTAACAATACAAAAGTTTTGAGCTCTGTTTATCTAGACAACTGGAGCAGACTAGTAGGAGAAAACAAACTGAACTGGATTCCTCTATTCTACTGCTGGAAAAATCTAAGGAATCACCAACTTTTAAAATGATAATGAAAGTAATTTTATAGTTACCCCCCCCCCCCCATTCTAAAAGTAGTATGATCCGAGCCGGTACAACATGTACGTACTGTACATGCATTTACTCGTACTGTTCGGACTACACAGTGGAAAGAATTATAATGTAAACTATATACAGAAACGCCCAACTCAGATATACGCAAATTGTGTACTGTACACTGTGGGAGGAATGTAAACAAACCCAGTGCCCCCACAGAAGTTGAAGGGAAAGGACTAAAACTCGGATGTGATATTACAGCCTAACAAAAAACAAGTTAATATATCAAGTTAGAGCGAATACATAAGATTTTTGGCTTTCTGGTCAATATGGAAAATACAATAGCAATATATTCTTATTCCACCCCTTTGGCCTTTTCCCTCAAAAATGATGCGTTGCCCCTGAATTCTTTGTTTTGTTCTCCTCCCACTGCAGTACACAGATTTGACGCATGAAATATGGCGGTTCCTGGTCTATATATTTCTTGGTTATTTCAGAGATGTGCACGCATTTTTTGTACTGCAGTGTGATGTCTCTGGGCGGTAAAGTAAACACAAGACGAATATCACAGCCTGACATGGGACCCATCTTTCACATTAAAAAATCAATGAATTCTAATCATAGGAAATAATTATGTAATTATCAAAATTATCTAAATTAAATGCTTTTGTCCTCCTCGGATACTAAGGAACACTGATTCATCTATTCTTGTTTACAAACACCGCCCAGAGAAAACTGGTTTCCATATCTACGCAGAGAATACGCAACAGCAATTAACTTTCCTTGCATTATTACCTTGACCCTGTGTAAAGTTGACCCAGCACGTAATGTATCCTGGCAAGATCACGGTGCCACTAAATCCTCCATTTTTGTAAACCTCGAGAAAAAGTTTTAAGTTTTTTTTTTTTTAAACGTTATTTAGAAATATTTACAATTATCTCATTATCAGATTTAGTATACAGCACTTTCCTTTTGTGTTAATACTTAAAATTACACTTTGATTTTCTGAAAAACTTAAATTCGGATTCGAGAATCATTCAAAAAAGTTGAAATAGATGAATTATGGACGAAGAATTTTCGTGTTTAAACTTGTTAATCTTTAAAATTGTTCTTTCAATTATTTCATGAGACATTTTTGCCCGTAAGTACACAAAATAGACATTATTTACATTATTTTAAAGCATATTTATCTTTCAACTGCTCAAGTTTGAAGCCACTCAAATTTCAGTTTTAACAAACGAAACTCTAAACTCTAAACATCTTGAAAAATTCTAAAAATCTTGAAGAATTGGTGAATTCTTAGGAGAAGTTTTTTCGTCGTCAAATTGATGCTGAAAGATCAGACGATGCCCTTCTCAGGTTTGTAAATGTAAATATTAATAAAAATTTTGTTTAAAATTTTTTTCCCGGCAGTTGCCTTCTCAGCTTTCAGTAAACCGGTTTACATGATTTTTTCTGTTACTCCTTTCCAACTAAAGCTAGAAATAGGTTAATTGTAATTCTGAAAGGTACATGTCTAGGGATCCAAAAAGTTAGGATGGTTTAGCAGAGTTAAACAAAAGGCGTTGCGATACATTAAAGTAAACCCGGTCTTGAAATTTGATGCCTAACTTTTATAGCTCTCTGGGTCTCTGTGATATCAGGAGTACAAGATGGCGCCAATTAAATATTTATCTATATATAAAGTTGTAATCTCTGTTTGTCTGTTTGTTTGTTTGTACGATCTTAACTCTTAACCGATTTGCCGTAAATGTTGATTGGGGAACTCGGGAGAACCACGGAAATGATCTTAGCTTGGTTTTGAGATTCTAAGTTCACTATAGTTTCAGTAGAAGTAAATATTTCTATTCACTGATAGCGCCGATTGAAGGATTCATATCTCTAATTGGATAATGAGATAGATAGAAAGATAGGCGGGAGTAATTATGACTACCCCGGGCAACGCTGGGTTCTCAAGCTAGTATCTGTATCTCCCTGGTTTCAGGAGTGCAAGATGGTGCCAATCCATTAATTATAATAATATAGGAGTGACGAGGATGATAGAATGCCTAAAGAAGAATTGGATAAACTACGGGATCTAGCAGATGAGAAGAAAACTAAATATAACAAAGCCAGGTTTATACTTAACATTAATCTCACCTAGCTGTATTTGCACCAGCCAAAACTGGGATTCATCGTTATAGAAAATCACTTTTTAATTGCAAAGTAATTATGTATTTGCCACAAAGTCAAATTGTCTAATTCCTCTATCTTTTTAAACTGATGGTGTTTAAAAATTAGACTATTCTAATCTAACAGAATTCAAAGTATGGAATATATAGGGTCTCCGAAACTAGATATTTAAAGAAAGAGCTATAAAAGGGATTTATAAGAATAAGAGTACAGAGATCCAAATATATTAGTGCACACACTATACCCATGGGAGCAAATGATTGATCTCGAAATCCCTAAGATTTACATCTGGATTATAGTGGATTGAACATATTAATCATTATATTACAGAGAGGAATATGATTACTTGAAGTAATTATTTAGTGAATACAGTGGATCTCTAAAAAAGTTTAGGGTATCATTAAAAATAGTTTACTTTCAAATTACAAGACATCTAAAAATTATAAAATAATAAAGAAGACAGCGATATCGCCTCTGTTTTCTGGTCCCCCTGTATAATCCCTTTATAAATTTACTGGGAGGAATATATCAACTTTATATATTTACAGGGATGAATATATCTCCTTTATATATTTACAGGGAGGAATATATCTTCTTTATATATTTACAGGGAGTAATATATATCTCCTTTATATATTTACAGGGAGGAATATATTTACTTTATATATTTAGAAGGAGTAATATATCTACTGTATATATTTACAGGGAGGAATATATCTCCTTTATATATTTACAGGGAGGAATATATTTACTTTATGTATTTAGAGGGAGTAATATATCTACTGTATATATTTACAGGGAGGAATATATCTACTTTTTATATTTACAGGGAGGAATATATCTACTTTATATATTTACAGGGAGGAATATATCTACTTTAATATATTTACAGGGAGGAATATATCTCCCAGCTGAAAACTACAAACTCCCTCCAGAGAGATTTCTATGAGGACACTTGGCCTAATATTATCTCAGGTTAATAATAACTGTAATAATAATGATACTTGGCCTAATATTATCTCAGATTAATAATAACTGTAATAATAATAATACTTGGCCTAATATTATCTCAGGTTAATAATAACTGTAATAATAATAATACTTGGCCTAATATTATCTCAGGTTAATAATAACTGAAATAATAATGATACCTGGCCTAATATTATCTTAGGTTAATAATAATTGTAATAATAATGATACCTGGCCTAATATTATCTTAGGTTAATAATAACTGTAATAATAATGATACCTGGCCTAATATTATCACATTCTCATGTTGATAAATACTGTAATTATAATGATACCTAGGTATGAGGGGGGTAGCGGAGAGGAGTGTAGAGTGTATTATCTCATTATTAAGAAGATTGGATCTACTTGCACAAGAGGAGTGGGGAGACTTTGGTAAAATTAATTCCATAAGATTATTTTTTATCACAATGCATCGTTAATGTTTCTTAAATTGTTAATTAATTTTTTCCAACACGGGCTTCAATCTTAATTCTTTTAGGAATAATTGCTGAAGAAATGGAGGCCGGGATCGAAGACGACTTTGAGAATTTTCTCCACTGGGTAAAATCCGGAAATCAACATCCACAAGATTTCTGCTTTGAGGATTCTTTTAAACCAGGTGCTTAATTTTAGCTTTAATGTTTTTAATGTCTCTGTACGTGAGTACAAAAGTTTTTAAAATTAAATAAAAGCAAAAAACTACCAATTTCAGTAACATTAATAGTTTATGAAAAAAATATGGCGGATCTTTAAGAAGAAAAAAGTCCATAAACATCCACGCATTGACACCATGGTGCAGTTTTATTTGCTCATGTTCTGACAATAGAGCAGAACTAATGAAAGGAAAAGATAATAAAAGGAAAAACTAATAAAAACAAATGAATTGCAAATCAAGCAACGGAGGAAGAACATCAATGGTGATTCAATGTCACAGAATTTGGATCGTTTTTAATAAATAGTTTTTTTTTATATTTTCGTGTTTTCGCAAACCCTTTTTTACATGAAGTTTATTAAGTCCAAAATATCATTCTATCTGAGCTTGGTTATATCAATCTAGATCTTAGTTTATATACATCCAGTCCCTCATCATGTTGGATCGTGTTAAAGCTTTAAATGGAGTGACCGGCTATGTAAGGTAGTTGTCGTTACTTAATAATAAAAAAACTAATTCTGAAAACGTATCCATCTCCAAAGTAGGAGTTTTGAACGTCGAATTTGCACACTGAAACTCAGGATCTACAGATCTTTAAAAAGTTTAATATGTCTCAAATGAATCCGAAAGAACACTGCATACTCAGTTCAACTACCTTACATAGCCGGTCACTCCCTTTAAATGGCAATATCCGGGACTAATCAGAAAATCTAAAAAAAATTGTTGAAAATTGTATTATGCTGATATAAAGGTTTGCATGCAGAAAATACAGGGTTTTTTGAGTATTATGTGCGTATTTTGGCGTTAAAGCTTGGAGATAATCTATTATGATATGGGACGCTCTGTATTTTATATATATATATGTTAGCTATACCTGGCCAAACGGCGGGACCAAATTCGCTGAAATATTTTGAGGGAACCCATGGATACCCTATGGGTCACATATGCTAAAAAAAAACTTTTAAAAAATTCTTCAGAAATTTAACTTTTTTTCAAAGTTCTGAGTTCACCTATACAATTGATAGTCTTATAGAACTTCGATAAAGACTGAGTGTGCGTTGTGTGTGCAAAACAATAGTGTGAGTGTGTGTTGTGTGTGCCAAACAATAGTGTGAGTGTGTGTTGTGTGTGCCAAACAATAGTGTGAGTGTGTGTTGTGTGTGCCAAACAATAGTGTGAGTGTGTGTTGTGTGTGCCAAACAATAGTGTGAGTGTGTGTTGTGTGTGCCAAACAATAGTGTGAGTGTGTGTTGTGTGTGCCAAACAATAGTGTGAGTGTGTGTTGTGTGTGCCAAACAATAGTGTGAGTGTGTGTTGTGTGTGCCAAACAATAGTGTGAGTGTGTGTTGTGTGTGCCAAACAATAGTGTGAGTGTGTGTTGTGTGTGCCAAACAATAATNAATAATAAATTAAAATAATTATGTAAAGATTTCAATAAGAACTGAAAACGTAAATCAGAAATTTTTTTTTAAAGATTATGATCTCCTCTTCTAATGAAGGAGGCTGAAAATACGTGGAACTTGCTTTCAAACAGCTTCATATACAGGGTGTCCCTCGAAACATGACAGTTGGTAAATAGTTTAGAATATTATATTTAAGCAAAAGATTTTTTTAAACCAAATAAACTGCTAAAAGCCTTTAATATCTAATACAGTGTATGGAGGACGACATTCAAAACTATTTACCAACTATCATGTTTCATGGGACACCCTGTATCTAGTTGGGCGTTTGTTAGCCCTAGCTGGCCAAACGGCTGGACCAAATTCGCTGAAATATTTTGAGGGAACCCGTGGGTACCCTATGGGTCACATAGGTTAAAAAACTCCAAAAAAAAAATAATGTAATTCTCAGTTGCAAACCCCAGCAAAATCTTCAAGTCGACATTTAATAGTCTTCTAATGTCTTCTTATATTTGAGTTTAAGTGTATATTAATTCTTTCAGATTATCCCACTCTCCCCTGGGTGGAGGACGAGGATTTGGAAGCCGACTTTCATTACGGAGTCAATCTCAGAGTACTGACAGGTTCGGAGTATTTTTGTTGGAAAAATCCGCAAAAAAAATCCATGAGAAAAATTTAGAAGACAAAAAATACAAAACGTCACAAATACTAATGCATGGGAAACGACATGTCCGAATTTACAACAGTAAAATTAAAAGCTTTGTACAATCAAGAAGGAATATTACATCTATATCTATAATTTTGAAAATTATTTTGAAATTATTTTGTAGAAAACAAAATAGAAGTATATCAGCTGGGGCTGGATCTTAGCTATCTGTCATTGTACAGGGTGTCCCAAGAAACATGACAGTTGGTGAATAGTTTTGAATGTCTTCTTCCAGACACTGTATTATATATTGAAGACTTGTTGTGAAGTTTATTTAGTTAAAAAGTCTTTGCTAAAATATATTTTACTTTGAAATAAATTTTACCATAATACGGCTTTCATACACTATTTTTTATTAGTATCTTTAGTATCAAGCAACTTAAAAATCATAGAAGAAGACATTTCAAACTATTCACCAACTGTCATGTTTCGTGGGACACCCTGTATATTAGCCTCAGTGAACACTTAGGACAGTTTACTGATAAAGGTTATTAAGAGATTATGGCCTATTCATACAGTACAAACATCAAATATGCAGTACGCTTTCGGAGTTTTGTACAGAGCGTCCCATATCATCTTAGATTATCTCCAATCTTTAACTCCAAAATAAACACAAGAAAATTTTTATTTATGGTATACTCAATTTTACAAAATGATTTATTCTTCTTAAAATTTCTTATCAGTCCTGAAAAGCGTAATTTTGACCCATTGACGATCTAATATGATATGGGACACCCTGTATCTTCAATTTTACTCAGTTTTTCTCAGAACAGTTTATTAAGGATGAAATTTTGCTCTGTAAAATACTGTAATAGTACGTCTTCATGTGAAAATGCAATAAAAGAGCAGTGGATTGCAATAGTCAAATGGAAAAAAAAAAAATGCTATAGAAGTCCCTATGGTAAAAATCTATGGAACAATGCTGAATTCTGATTATTTCCTCCATTGTTTCAATAGCAAACTCCGCAAGTCACATTCCAGAGACATCACGATTAAAATAATCTACTTTCAAAGAGAAAATTATCTATTGCCTTTGTAATCAAACAGAGCTTTAAGGGTATTTAACGGATGCGTAATACAGTTTTATTAAGTTTTTTGGATTGAAAACCTATTTCTGCGTAAGTAAAAAATATAATCAGAAATCACCCCCAAGTAATGTAATATTCAGATTGACCTTTGAAAGTGGAGTATTTGGCCTGTACATAGGGTTGTTAGTCGTTTTTGAAAACGATCGTTAAACGATCGTTTTTTTTCGTTTTCAAAAACGATCGTTTTGTTTTCGGAAAAAAACAATCGTTTTTAAAAACAACCCACTCGTTTTGAACTTTTAGAAAACGAATAGCGATCGTTTTTGAAAACGATCGTTTTTATTAAAAAGATTTTTTTATACGATTGTTTTTTAAAAAAAAACAATCGTTTTTGAAAAAACGATAGTTTTTGAAAAAATTTTTTATTGACAATCATGTTAACGATTGTTAACGAAGAGTCGTCGTTAACGATTGTTAACGAAGGGTCGTCGTTAACGATCGTTAACGAAAGGTCATCGTTAACGATCGTTAACGAAGGGTTGTCGTTAACGATCGTTAACGAAACGACGAACTTTATCAAAACGGTCGTTTTTGGAAAAAAATTACATGCAACTTTATTGACTGTCGTTTTACATTAAGTTTAACAGTTGTGGGGGAGTTAAAACTCCTTGATATTTTCTTAAAAACTTCTCAATGATAAGTACAAATGCCCTTCAGGTCGGTTTCCTCTTTTCGTTAACGATTGTTAACGAAAGGGTTGTCGTTAACGATCGTTAAAGAAGGGTCGTCGTTAACGATCGTTAACGAAGGTTGTCATTAACGATCGTTAACGAAGGGTCGTCGTTAACGATCGTTAACGAAGGTCCGTCGTTAACGATCGTTAATGAAGGGTCGTCTTTAACGATCGTTAACGAAACGACGAATTTTATAAAAATGATCGTTTTAAAAAACGATCGTTCTTAAAAACTAGCGTTTTGAAAAAAGATCGTTTTAAAAACGACAATTTAAAAAAAAAACTTTTTAAGAAACGATCGTTTTTAAAAACGATTGTTTCGTTTTCTATTTTTCGTCGTCGTTTTCATAACGAAACTATCGTTTTTCTGAAAAATGAAAACGTTAACATCCCTACCTGTACAATTAGTAAAGGTACATCATCACATTATATACAATAACCTCGTTAAATTAAAGCATGCATTTACTCAAGGAGAATTGAATAGAAGGAGGGGGCGATAGGGTTTCCGTACACTTTGCTGTGACGTTTTTGGACTGCTTAAGAACCAGTTTTTGCGTAACAACAATAATAAAGATTGTAAACAATAACACAAATGATAAACAGACATCTGGAATCTCTGGCGCGTTAAATGAAGATTCACCGTATATACTAACTTATGTTTGTTTACATTAGATCGGCTGCCTTTGTTATTGTTGTTACGCAAAAACTAGTTCTTCAGCAGTCCAAAAACGTCACAGCAAAGTGTACGGAAACCCTATCGAAACTCTATTCAATTCTTCTTGCATTAAATACATTCTAAGCTTAAAAGCCAACATTTTGGTTATACAAAGAATTCAAGGGTAAGTGAATCGGGCGTACCCCCTCTTTTTTTAAAAGAGGGTCTAATTGTAACCTAGTGGTGTAAACCTCAAAGTGTGATTTTTTGATAATGCAGTGTATACTAATTCGAAATATCAGGTTGAAAAGATATAAATAAGGATTTGAAAACTTAAAGACTTTAAGGAGAAAATTGTTTATTTTTCAGGACGAGTCCCAGGTTCCTCTCCGCCAGGATTCCTCCCCGGAGTAGTACTCCGATCAACTACAGGATAGATGATATCAAGGAGCAAGAAGAGCAGGAGGAACATGAGGAGCAGAACCAATCCGTCTCCGAACTTGAACAAAGCCGAGGGGAACCGGATAAAAGCAGGGAAAGCTCAGAGATTAATGGAAATTATGACGGCTCAGAGCAGAACAAAACCACGAAAAATTCTCCACTTGAAGACGACATTCAGAATTCAAAAATTAAAAATGAGTCAAAATCATTTGATACAGCTCACGCGGGAACAAACGGATTTGCGAAGGAAACCAAACACGTAGAAAACGGAACAGTTCGTAAGAGTTATGATGACAGTATGAATCCTTTCATGGATGAATATGATGAATGATATGTTTAAAAGGAAAATTCTAAATTTATTAATACATAGGTGCACAACACCTACATTATTCCAAGGTATTAATGCAAGGAAGGTTAATTGCGGTCGCGTATACTCTGCGTACATATTAAAACCAGTTCTCTCTTGGCGGACTTTGTAAACAAGAATAGATGCATCAGTGTTCGTTTTGTATCCGAGGAGGTCAAAAGCATTTAATTTTAATGATTTTGAAAATTCACATAATAGTTTCCAATGACGAGAGCATTTCATAATTTTTTTTGTGAAAATGGATTCCCTGTCAGATTGTGACATCCATCTTGTGTTTACTTTCCGCCCAAAGACAGTACACTGCAGTACAAAAAATGTGTACACCTCTGAAATAACTTTCCTTGCATTAGTACCTTGCATTATTCTTTTTGAATGTCGTCATCTAGTTTTTAATTTAAAACTGCGAGTGGAGCATACAATTTGATCATTTAAAATTCTCAACAAATGTGAAAATCATCAGAAAAACTTTAAGTGAGTAAAGTTTAGTGAAAGCTGAAATATGTGATATTAATATTGGCAGTTTTAACATATAAGCACTATAGGTAATACATCAACTTTCATGTTTTGTAAACTGAAATTTACAGGACAAAAACAGGGATAAACATTGAAATAGGCTTTTCCTTACATTGATTCTGATTCAAAGCATTTTTTACAACAATTAAATGTCCATTGTCCAATGTCCATTCATCCATGTTTAGGAATTGATTCATTTCCACAAACTCTGATTTTCTATAAATCCTTATATCTTAGCAACTATGAATTCTGTTAGATCAATTAATCTAAATTTTAAAATTTAAAAGGTTTACACCATCAGGTGCAAAGATATATAGATTTGTGGCAAGGACTCAATTCCTTTATTTAATGAATAATTGAATTCAGTTTCATTAAAATACAAAAACATTTAAATAAAAAATGAATGATTTTTAGAAAACTATTTTTATCATCTTTTAGGATTTAGGATAAAACAAATTACCTTTGAAATGCATAAACCCCTGAGACCAATTTTAAAAAGTGCTTTCATCTCATCTCAGAATTTTTCCGGAGATTAAAGTTTTAAAGAAAACGATTTATGTTTAAAAATGTCCATCCACATTGTAACTTGCATTTTGTCCAGTACATTGAAGTAAAGAACAATAATGTTCAGTGCAGGAAAGTACAGGGAAATGCAGTACAGTACTGGGGATAGGTCAGCATGGAAAAGTACTCCGCAGTACAGAAAAGTACTTTGCATTACAGAAAAGTACTCCGCAGTACAGAAAAGTACTCCGCATTACAGAGAAGTACTTTGCATTACAGAAAAGTAAAGAAACAAGTGTTTTCCCAGATATACAAACAAAAAATGCTTTTTTCAAATCTTTTTTAAAATCAAATTTTCAATATCCTTGGAAGTTTTAAACATATCAAAAACAATTTGGCCCTTTAATTTATATTTTATAATACCTTTATAATACTTTTTAAACAAAAGAACAATTTTTCCGAAAAATGATGATCTTTTACTGTACGAGCATTCTTTCAATCTTTGGAATGTAATAAATGTATTATAAATGTTAAACATTTTAAGTTAAATTTGGAAAAAATAGGAAAATAAAATGAAGTTTATTAATATTTAAAATAGCCTTAAATGTAAATTTCAAGGGTAAAACAGCTTTTTTTATTTATTAATTGTTCATTTATCTTTAACTTTAGTTTCTTGAAAATTTACTTAGTTTAGAATATACTTTTTGTCAGTGTCTGAATTTAACAAATTTTGCATTTCGTTACTAAATAATAATTAAACCTTATACATACATTAAATTCATTGTAAAGCTCTATAATATACTCAAAAATTGTAAATAGTTGTACATAAAATGTTGTGCCAATACTCAAAAATTGTAGTCATAAAACAATATTTGCACATTTTTCGCTTCCATCGCATACGTAGTAATTGTACATAAAGATAAATTTACATGAAAAAATATATATTAGCTTCTAATTTAAAAACATTTAATTACAAAAAATTATTTATTCAGATTTACATTTTGTGCATATAGCAGCGCTCAAAGACCTAAATAAAAATTTAATAATCCCACGATCAAAAAATAAAATTTTTTAACAAAATTTCCATTGCGTTTTGCTTAAGAATCTAAGATTTTCATCGTTTATGTACTGCAGTTAAACCCTGAATTTCGGAGACATCATCAGAATTTATAAAATGTCGTCTTGACAATTTTCCAATGTGGTTTACCTCTAGAAATCATACAACAAGGATAGCATACCTAAGTGTCAGTAATTGTGAAAATAAAGATATATGCGGTTTTAAAGAGCTCCATATAACTCATCAATTTAAAAATAAATATCAGCGGCATTCCATTCTCGATAGGGTTAGAAAAAGACATTTTAAAAATTCTTACGATATCTCCGAAATTCAGGATTAAACTGTATTTATATATTCGATCACGATTGTATCTTATTAACTTTATTGAAATCTGTCGAAAAGGGTAAAATACGATATGTAAGTGAAGGATTATTTTACAAATAGTTTTGTTTCATAAAACGTGCCGGGTCGACTTTTCACTGGTTAGCCTGAGGCCGAATTTATATAATTTGATCGGCGGTTTAAATTTGAGACACAGTTCAAATATGGTTGGTTCCACTTAAAATTGCATAATATAATTCAAGATTTTAGCCGGCACTCAATTGAAACCGGTTTTGGCAGATTCGAGACTTGGTTCAAATTCATTAAATTCGGACTTTGACTAGACAGAACGACTGAATGCATATACAGTACTTGTTGTACCGGCGCGCAGATAATGCAACTTTCAGACCAAGATTGGCTTCAATCAAATAAGAATTTTAAACAGTTTAAGAATAGACTTTTTTTGTGAATTCTAAAATATTGATAATATGTGTATTATCAAAAAAGTGAACGATATATTTAATTTTTTTGTGTGTAAAAATTCAGGAAAATGTTTTATGAAATTGAAAAAAACTCTTTCCGCTATGGGATTTTCCTCTCAGAGAGTTGAGAAAGGGCAATATATAGTGCACAGAGTAGATATTTAGAGAGGTTCAGTGTACTGGGTACAGCAGGCAAGCTGGGCAAAACTGTACAATTTTAGAAAAATTGTACAGTTTGTGTACGTATTCTTAAAAACAAGTTATTTTTTCAGTGCTTCCTTTGTTCTTTATTTTCTGTTTTAATATTTAATGTCCCCTTGAGTGATTAAATAAAGAGGTTGAAACTGATATTGTAAAGAACCATTTAACATTGTGATTTGTATATATTACGTTAAAGGAAGTGTTCGCGAAAAATGAAAGTGGGTATAATCCTGTAAAGTTTTCATTTGAAGAGTCACATGCACCGATTCACAACATGTTTCGCGACCAAAATCTGGGAAAAGGGGAGTGTTCGCGTAAAATGAAAGGGGGAGGCTTAATGCGATAAAAAAGCGCTTTTGATCGCTACTAATCTTACTTCTCGCTGTTGCGTCTATAAGGAGAAAATTGTTAAAAACGACTCACACCGTAGTTGATTTTTCATAATATGTTTTAATTGTTATGATCTGAGAGTTACTTATAAAAACATTTATTCCTGTTTCGAGGATTTTTGGTAATGAAGACGACATTTTAATATTTTCCAGGAATGTTCGAAAACAAGTTGTAAGCTAAATATTATTTAAAAAAATAAAATCAAAACATATTATGAAAAATCAAATATTTACAAATGTGGCGAAAGATAATCGATGACTATAGGTTGTAATATCTGAATGATTTGTTTGAAATTAAATAATTTTTTTACGGTCTAAGTCGTATGTTGCATCTTTCTGAATTTGTATGGACACTACGTTCTTCGGTATTTGTCGTTTTTAACAATTTTCTCCTTTTAGACGCAACTGATAGAAGTAAGATTAGTATATATTTAATGGTAGTCTTTTATAGTAAAATTGATTTCAAAGTAAAATATATTTGAGTATAAGATGCCAAAAGTTAATATATGGCAGTCATATTATAGTAAAATTGATTTCAAAGTAAAATATATTTAAGCAAAATATTTTCTTGAACGAATAAAAATGCAAAAAATCTATCTATCTAATATCTATTACAGTATATAGAAGAAGACATTCCAAATTATTTACCAACTGTCATGTTTCGTGGGACACCCTGTACACTTGCCTCAATCCCAAATCTTTTAATCCGTATATCTTTGAAGTCGGATGTCGTAAGCTGTGTATTTTTGCTAGAAAAAATAAACACAATTCGAAGTATTAAAGTTTTACCAAAAACTTGAGATTAGAAAATTAGATTTTTCAGTTTCTTTAAAACAGGCCTAGAACTATTACCTGACTCGAAATCCAACAGAAAAACGCTTGCTTTCCCCTGTCAAAAAAAAATCTAATTCAAGTTTTAAAAGTTGGATTTTTACTCTCACAGAATGTAATCTAGTTAAAGTGCTAAAGGGATGATGATTATGTTTTTTTTTAAAGAAACCTTGATCTAAAAAACTAATTCAATATCCTTAGCAAACTGCGGTTGCAAGTTTTTCAAGCAAATAACAAGTTGATTTATAAAGCAGAAAGAAGAAAATAATGGCGTCCAATATGGTTGCATATCTAATTAGGATGAAATGAGATTTAAAGGGATTGTAGGAGTAATTTCATGCGACACTAGCTTCATTTATAGTGAAAGGTCCGACTCACAAGGGTACTTTTTAAATAAAAAATTAGATATTCATGTTTTAGTTATTGAAAACTAATTATTTTAATTTGCGGTTTCTCAACAAAAATGACGTTAACTTCCACATTCACTGGACTACTTTATTAGTCTGCATATATTTTATGCCCTAACGTGGCCAGATTTTAATAAAATAGTTTTATCTCTAAGAATTCGAAACTTTAAAATACATAATAATCGAAGGACGAGGATTCCGAGGTGGCTCGCACGAAAAAATTAGCAGAATGTGGCTCGGACGAGAAATTGTTGTGTCTGATCATCCTCCCCTCATTTAATAGGCTCATAATTTTGTTCAAAAACTTGAAATATAATTTTTTGCCTAGAATCCGTCTTCCTGATACTTGACCCAGGACTAGAAGATACAGGATTAAGATACAAATACAAAAGATTCTTCTCATTCTTTTCTAAACTTAAAGGATTTCATTTTTAAAGGAAATGAGGATAAAATCTTAATATGCGAAGACAAATATTTGCATTATCCACTCTCAGAAAAATTAGAACCAGTGGAAAAATTTAAGCCCCGAGGGATTCAACCACTTTAAAGGAAAGTTACAAAAAGTTTGTTTTTGGTTTGCTTGAATTTTCCTTGAATCCTCCTAATCTAAAAACTTATTTAAACCTGCTCTTTACAAATGTTTATTTATTTCAGGCGACTTTATTGAAAAATTATCTGTTGTCTTTGTACCTTTTTTGGGTTAATTAATTTCCATTTTCAATTAATATGTCGTAGGAGGAAAGAAAACTTTTATTTACAAAGAAACCAGAATGACAAAATATATAATTTGTTGATTGAAATAGTATCGTCATCACTCGGAACTATAGCTTTTTTACGCTATAATTCTATTTAATATTTTCACTTACTCTAGCTTTAAGCCTTGTTTGGCACTAACATTAAAGCCTACTATAATACCCACACGTAAAATTAGTCTTAAAAAAGCTAAACATCTTTATTTTATCAAGAAAAAATAGAATTTTTTTTTTAAAATAATAAAAATAATAAATTTTTTTTTTATGTTATGCCAAAACGGCTGAACCGATCGGGCCAATTTTTTGTGGTAACTAACACAGAACCCAGGCTCGAAATAGAAAATTTTGCCAGAAAAAAATGTCGATCTTTTGAAATTTTATAAATCCATTAAAGGGACTGTAGGAGTGTAGACCCTTTATATTGATAGATTGGAATTTCTAATTTACAACGTTGCCCTTAAAAGCTCTGACTGATCAGACACGAATTAGATATCTTTGTTTTTAATTTTGAAAATGATTATTTTTTCTACAAAAGTGAAAACAATGTAGGAATTATCAGAATTAAACACTTTTTAATCTAGTGCCCGACGTTGCCCGGGGAATAAAAAATGGAATTTTAAAAGAAAAAAATTTGATTAAAAAAATTTTTGAAATTTTTTTGAAGTGCCCGGCGTTGCCTGTGGAATTAAAAAACACTGGAAAACAATTCGAATTTTGAAAAAAATGTCGAATTTTTCCCGAAATATTTTCTATACAGGCATATGTCTCCTCAAAAAACTTCAGCCAATTCGGTTCAAGCTATATAGCTAACATGTAAATTTTCTTTGTTAAATGAAAATATAAAGTTGAACATGGAATGGAGATTATGTAAATATATATATATATATATATATATATATGAACGAAGAGCTTTATTATTAAGACCACACTTAAAAAAGAACACTGGACAACTGAATGTCCTACACCTGTTTTCTTCAATATTCATAAACTATATATATTATCTATATCAACATAAATATAAGAAAAACACTTGTTTAAAATTATTATTAATAAATGACATTTTCCACCTTGACATGGGAATATTCATTCGTATTCTTTTACGTCTCCTAAGTAATGGAAGTCCGTGAAATCAGTAAATGACGTCACTAATCCATACACTCGCCTCTGTAATCAGTGACGTACATTGGAGCACATCGAGAGTAGTAAACAACCTTACTAAACAATCTTGGTTTGAATATGTGTTGTTCTTGTATCTAAACTGGGCCGACCTGATCTGGGCATTCTTAAGTATCTTCACTGTTTTTAACTATATAATATTATTCTTTACAATAATTTGAAAACAGAGAACAGTTTAATTAATCACAAATCCAACCTTGGTCGGATCTGCAAGCTAAGAAATGCTTTATTTTTCTATAATGTAAATGTCTACGGCTACTAAAAAGTATAATGAAAAGGACTGTAAGCGAAATTTTAAGTGTAAAGAAGGCAATGCTGAATTCGCAACGGTACCCTTATAACCTGTTTGTGTTCATCGAGTACAGAGATATGTGTGTATAAACTTATTGAAACCCATTTGTATTCAGCTGCACATTCCGGTATGTTCTGCGTACAGTCTGTACTGAACACAGCGCACACTAGAATATTTTGATAATCTTTTCTGAACTGAAAACTTTAGAATGGGATATCCTTAATTCCAATCAGTTAATCAAATTACATATTTACAGCACAGTTAAAATGCACGCAATTAAGATGTACGTCATTATATATTACATGATTAAGCTAATTATATTACATATTTACAGCACAAATGATTGTGATTAAACTAATCATGCTCCGTATTTAGCTGAAGCGCAGTTCAAATAAATAATGTGTTTTACGTCGAGGTTTTATAAATGTTTATTAGTAATAATGTACAACATGGTTCAGGTTTACATATATCATGTTACCCGATATTTATTACAAATTTCTGGATTTAAAAAAAATTGGAGGGGGTGGTTATTAATAGTTTTAGGTTGAATGGTTAGAATGGCCAAAGATAGGGTGGTTAAGTTTCTGTTTTGGGGCAGGGGGTGTTATCCAACTTTAATAGTATGAAGATAGGGTTAAGTTTACTGTTTAGGGTAGGGGGTAGGATTATGAAATTAGAATGGTATGAAGATAGGGTTAAGTTTTCTGTTTGGGGTAGGGGGGGGGGAGGATTATAAAACTAGAATGGTATGAAGATAGGATTAAGTTTTCTGTCCCCTCTAACATGTTTGTATTGATTCCAGTCCAATATACTTGATTGCTCCACTCTAAATATAAAATTATTAAAAAATATATAAACATTTTTTATTTTACAACGGTAACCATAAAATATCTTTGTCAGATTAATTATGAATTAGATATCCAAGTTTTTCTGAAATAGTTAAATTCGAATTTCTTGCTTATAAGAAACAATTGAGAAATAAACAATTTTTGAGTCAGAAAATCGACGTTGTCTTCCACAGTTTTTATCGATTAGGGTTTCAAGGATAACGTTGTAAATCGGACATTGCTAAATATCTTTGTATGGAGGGTCACTAAAAATTACGTTTACAGTCCCTTTAAAATCTATTCATCTTAACAGAAAAATTTTAGACATCGCAAACAATTTTAAAATTGTTTGCCTGCATAATCCTGCTTGAAGACCTTTCACGATATCATTCTGCATCAATCTTTCATCTTGTCCAACCTAAATAGTTTTCAATGTAAAGATATCATTTTGTGTCAATCTTTCATTTTGTCCAACCTAAATAGTTTTCAATACAAAGATATCATTTTGTATCAATCTTTCATCTTGTCCAACCTAAATAGTTTTCAATACAAAGTTATCATTTTGTATCAATCTCTCATCTTGTCCAACCTTAATAGTTTTCAATACAAAGATATTATTTTGTATCAATCTTTCATCTTGTCCAACCTAAATAGTTTTCAATACAAAGATATCATTTTGTATCAATCTTTCATCTTGTCCAACCTAAATAGTTTTCAATACAAAGATATCATTTTGTATCAATCTCTCATCTTGTCCAACCTAAATAGTTTTCGATACAAAGATATTATTTTGTGTCAATCGCTCATCTTGTCCAACCTTTAAAACCTATTTGCTCTGTATTAAAATCAAACGCTTATAAGATTAGTCAAATATATGGTCTTTATATTTCACAGTTTTAAGGGCCCCACTTTGGGTGTATGCTAATTTTTTCATGCTAAACTTTATGAAGAGCGCAAAAGTTATATTATGATGTATTTTAATGTTCTTAACTTAGTTGATCAAATTCTAGCTTTTCATTATTGTCTATTCGATGTTTATTCGATGAGTATTCAGATATCATAATGAAATTTAGATTTTGCTCCAAACTCTGATTGTCTTATTCAACCTGAGGGCGAATTTAATGAATTAAAGCCGCGGCTTAAATTTGAGCCGCGACTCAAATATGGTTGGTTTCACTTCAAATTGTATTCATTGTTTCAAGATTTAAGCCAGCGCTCAATCGAAACCGGTTTATGGCGGATTTGAGACGCGGCTCAAATTCATTAAATTCGGACTCTGATGGTGTACACCTTTAATATTTCAAACAATGTGATTTGACAACATTTTTAGTTTGAACTATCAAAGTTTTACAACATTGGGTTGCAAAGGTACTTAAAAGCTAGATTTGGTTGAATTAGGGTAAGAACATTGAAACACTTCTCTATATCCAAGGTTATGACGCAAGGAAAGTTATTTCAGAGGTGTACGCATCTTTTGTACTGCAGTGTACTGTCTCTGGACGGTAATGTAAACACAAGACGGATGTCGAAGCCTGACATGGGATCCATCTTTCACTTTAAAAAATCAATTAAATATTCTGGTCATAGGAAACTTTTATGTGAACTTTCAAAATTTAATGCTTTAATCCTCCTCGGATTCCGCCCAGAGAGAACTGGTTTCAATATGTACGGAGATTATACGCAACTGCATCTGCAATTAACTTTCCTTGCCTTATAACCTTGTCTATAGCTTGGTAGAAAGTCTGGAAAAATACAGCTATCTAGTAAGATTGACCTCTTACCTTACTTGAATTACTGGCTAAACCAACAGATATTCTAAAATAAATCATATTATCATTAATATATATCTATTGACCAGAATACCGAAGGAAAAGTGTTGATATTTTCTCGAGTATTATTTTAAAATGTCAATGGAGAATCTGTAATTTGAAACTGATTTATTTCTATAGAAGCGTTTTGAGGAAAGAACTGTTGCATTGTGAATTTTAATTATTATTTTAAAATCTAGTTTTTCAAACAAGTGTATAAACGTTTTTGCATAAGATTAAATCGCAACCTGATCTCTAATTTTACTCACAAAATCTATTGAATTGAAATTAGATTGGGAAAATAAAAAAAGAGCCATGAGCTTTTTTCTAAGTAATGGATTTTTACTTATATTGTCAACATAATTATCAATTTTATGGTTGTAAACTTTTTCTACATATGTAGTATTTTAGCAATACACTTAATCTTATATTATCTTATCTTAGGATCAAGAAGCATTGGTTTTCATCGTGAGCAGTCCTGCGGATTAATTTAAATCATCTTTACCTTGAGTCTGGAGCACTTGTATTCTATACCATGAGTCCGGAGCACTTGTATTCTATACCTTAAGTCCAGAACACTTGTATTCTATACCATGAGTCCGGAGCACTTGAATTCTATACCATGAGTCCGGAGCACTTGTATTCTATACCTTGAGTCCGGAGCACTTATATTCTATACCATGAGTCCGGAGCACTTGAATTCTATACCATGAGTCCGGAGCACTTGTATTCTATACCTTGAGTCCGGAGCACTTGTATTCTATACCATGAGTCCGGAGCACTTGTATTCTATACCTTGACTCGGGAGCACTTGTATTCTATACCTTGAGTCCGGAGCACTTGTATTCTATACCTTGAGTCCGGAGCACTTGTATTCTTTTCCTTGAGTCCGGAGCACTTGTATTCTAGGAGCACTTGTATTCTATACCTTGAGTCCGGAGCACTTGTATTCTATACCTTGAGTCCGGAGCACTTGTATTCTTTTCCTTGAGTCCGGAGCACTTGTATTCTATACCATGAGTCCGGAGCACTTGTATTCTATACCTTGAGTCCGGAGCACTTGAATTCTATACCTTGAGTCCAGAGCACTTGTATTCTATACCTTGAGTCCGGAGCACTTGTATTCTATACCTTGAGTCCGGAGCACTTGTATTCTATACCTTGAGTCCGGAGCACTAGTATTCTATACCTTGAATCCGGAGCACTTATATTCTATACCTTGAGTCCAGAGCACTTGTATTCTATATCTTGAGTCCGGAGCATTTACATTCTATACCTTGAGTCCGGAGCACTTGTATTCTATACCTTGAATCCGGAGCACTTATATTCTATACCTTGAGTCCAGAGCACTTTTATTCCATACCTTGAGTCCGGAACACTTGTATTCTATATCTTGAATCCGGAGCACTTGTATTCTATACCTTGAGTCCGGAGCACTTGTATTCTATACCTTAAGTCCAGAGCACTGGAATTCTAAACCTTGAGTCCGGAGCACTTGTATTCTATCCCTTAAGTCCGGAGCACTTGAACTCTATACATTGAGTCCGGAGCACTTACATTCTATACCTTGAGTCTGGAGCACTTGGATTCTTTACCTTGAGTCCGGAGCACTCGAATCCTGAGAACCTTGAGGTTTCAGTTTAACCTTCTCCAATGCCAAAAATACAGGATTCATTCTAAATAAAAAAGTATTTTCCGAAGCAATTTGGTTCCGGAAAGGATTTACTGAACCTTTCCTGAAGCTATTTTGCATTAAAACTTTAGCTATTTCCGTATAAAGATCACAATTTCTGTTACTAAACTATAAAAAATTTACAAGTGGCTGAGAGACGAAATATAAAAAAGATTAAAATGGTCAATTTGGATTTGATTTTTTAATAAAAATGTTGTCCATTTTAGTTTGAGGGATGTTTATAAGTCACCCTCCTCCCAATAAAATCAAATATTTCTGATCAAAAAGTAATTTTATCCTCAATAGTTAAAATGCAGCGGCAAAAGACCTGAAATGTTTGAAGTTCTAAAATTCTGATTCCTAACATAGCAAAGCATAGCAAAACATATTAAATAGCTTAGAAGTAAAAATACCGAAGTAAATCCAAGTTTTGGAGAGGGAAATAATTTCCAAGATTATTGAATCTACATTTTTTCTGTGGTTAAGGTTCCGGGAAAAGAAAGTTAAAAAACTTAAAAAAATAATGTCTTTTCAGTTGTTTCGGAAAGGATATCAGAATAAAATGGGGGGGGGGGGGAATTTTTGAAAGGAAATCTATTTACGCTTTTTGTGTTACATGTAAATTCAAAATGAAATATATATTTTTTATCACAAGGCACTCTACCCTTCTCCTCTTCTCCATTTTCCTTATTAGTATTGGTATCCGATACTCGTGCAAGGAATATTCCTTATTCTCATATAACATCAAAAAGATCTGGTATTCGCGCAATACTTTCAAAAATCCCCCCCCCCCTTAATCCCCCATTCCAACGGCCTTTCTCCAAACATTGTTAAATATAAGAAACTAGTCTGGCGTACTGTTCCAAATTTGATCGTATTTGAAAGAAAATGTGTTCCAAATACAAATTTCGATTTGAACATAGATTGACCTATTTATTAAACCTTTTCAGAAAGGAATTGAGTCTTTGTCACAAACTCAGATTTTCTAATTTTGATATTTTTAAATAGATAACTATAAATTCTGTTAGATCAAATAGTCCAAGTTTGAAATAGCACAGGTTTACACCATAAGGTTGCAAAGATATAGAGATAAGAAAATTTGAGGTTGTGACAGAAACTCAGTTCCTTTGTTCTTGAAAACTTTAAAGAACAAGAAAATTAAATTTTGAAATTTAATGTTGAAATTTAGATTAATGAAAAAAACATGACACTAAACTCAAACTTTAACGTGATGACATTTCAATTCAATTCAATTCATAGTTCTTCGATGTAAGTTTGCAAAAATTTCAGTTACTCAAAAATTGTTTGAGATCTTTTAATTTCTTTTAAAAATTTAAAAATTTTGCTTACTTATCCTCCCTGTCTGAATCCAAGGGTGGAGTTCCAACTACTAAACCTTGTTTATCTCTTTTAGAGACAAGCTTGCCCAGAAACCTTGTACTGGTAGGCAAACCTGGAGATTATATCTTTCAACTTGAGTCAAGATAAGGGAAAAGGGGGTTTCTTTTTTTCTTTCTTCAGGTTGATTTTTAAAAGTCGATTTTATTAAATGTTCTCCAAAGCAAGGTATCTACCACAAAAAGATTATTTTGACATTTACTAACTCGTTATTTCATGGCAGTTGATAAAGAAATCAATTAGATCCAGTATTGTTAATCTTTCTCTTCTTTAGGAGGTTCTCAAACAACTTCCAAACTTCAAACCCGATAGGATCCTTCAAAGTTATTAAAACAGCACTGGTTAGAAACCATAATTTAAAATGTTCGAAAGAAATATTTTAGTGAGAAAATTGAGAAAAATGCCGCAGTTTTGACACTGTTTGACCTGTTTTTACTGAGACCTGTAATCTTTTTTTTCTGGGTGTAGCCATTCTTGCTTCAGGAATTATCAAATGTTAAAAATCAGTATTGCGGATTTTTCATCCAACAAATAAAAAATCGACTTTTAAAAATCCCCCTGTACATTATTATTAAAATAATGTATTATTAAAAGGACTTACGACGAATTTTTAAGTGATCCTCCATTTTAATAATTCCTGATTCACAACAGTGCTTTTTAAATTTTGTGAAACTATGCAACAAGATCGAAAACAACGATATCCCCCTCTTGGTTCCTTGGTATCGGTGCGTTATCGTCTCGCTCTACAACTCCCTGCCCCTGAGCTCTCCTCGCGGATTGTGTGAAACCCCTGTGTTGAGGGACGGACTGTATGTAAAGGAGCTTTCCGAAACCAGTTTTGTTTAGTAAACTTTGACTTAAATCTGTACTGTATCTGCCATTTTTCTCGTCAGTTAAACTTTATATTTCGATACGCAAGTTTTATGTTGTTGTGATTCTATGAACGGCTGCACATAAAGGTATTAATTAGATATTACTTCTTTATTTATGCAAAGCTGAGTTTTCCTTGTTTCTGAATAATGAATATTTTCCATGTAAAAGTTTCCTTTTATTTTTAAAATATGAAAGATTTTAGTTCTAAAATGTATGTTGTAAATATTTTTAGTCAATTTTTATCCATAATTTACGTTAAAATAAATAAATTAATTAGGACAATCTGTCTAGATTGAACCCGTATTTGGAACAGTTCTCAGAGATTTGAGATTCTGTCCAATCGTAATAATGTAACTGATCATGACTAGTTCAATACTTTAGGATATTTTAAAGGGAGTGTTCGCGAAAAATGAAAGGGAGTATAGGCTTAATGAGATAAAAAAGCGCTTTTGATCGCTACTAATCTTACTTCAATCTGTTGCGTCTATTATGAGAAAAGTGTTAAAAACGACTTACACCGAAGAACGCAGCGTCCATACAAATTCAGAAAGATGCAACATTCAACTCAGACCGTAAACAAATCAATTTAATTCCAAACAAATCATTCAGATATTACAAACAGTAGTCATCGATTATTTTTCAACGCATTCATATATAGTCACTATTTCATAATATTTTTGATTTTGTTTTTTTAAATAATTTTTGCTGGCGCTGGATTTTCGAACATTCCTGGAAAATATGAAAATGACGTCTTCATTATCAAAAATCCTCGAAACAGGAATAAATGTTTTTAAAAGTAACTCTCAGATCATGAAAAATACAAAATATTATGAAATATCAACTATTTACGAACGCGTCGAAAAATAATCGATGACTCTTGTTTGCAATATCTAAATGATTTATTGGAATTAAATTGATTTGTTTACAATCCGAGTTAAATGTTGCATCTTTCTGAATTTGTTTGGACACTACGTTTTTCGGTATTGGTCGTTTTTAAAAATTTTCTCTTTATAGACGCAACAGATAGAAGTAAGATTAGTAGCGATCAAAAGCACTTTTTTATCGCATTAAGCCTCCCCCTTTCATTTTTCGGGAACACTCCCTTTTTCCCAGATTTTGGTCGCGAAACATGTTGTGAATCGGTGCATGTGACTCTTCAAATGAAAACTTTACAGGATTATATAATTTTGTAATATGGTAATTAAAAGATAAAAATGCTAAAATAAGAAACTTTTTAATCGAAAAGAACGAAAACTTACAAAAAATATTTTGGAATTTTTGACAAAAATTTGATAAATGAGTTTCCTTATTGCTTTTAACCATTAAATTTCATTAGATTGATATTTGCCAAAAATTTAAATGTTACAGATTAACATAGTTTCTCAAAGGATGAAAGAATGAAAGAAAGATTGAAAGGATGAAAGAATGAAAGAATGAAAGAATGAAAAAATGAAAGGATGAAAGGATGAAAGGATGAAAGGATGAAAGAATGAAAGAATGAAAAAATAAAAGGATGAAAGGATGAAAGAATGAAAGGATGAAAGAATAAAAGAATAAAAGAATAAAAGAATGAAAGAATGAAAGAATGAAAGAATGAAAGAATAAAAGAATGAAAGAATAAAAGAATAAAAGAATAAAAGAATAAAAGAATAAAAGAATGAAAGAATGAAAGAATGAAAGAATGAAAGAATGAAAGGATGAAAGAATGAAAGAATGAAAGAATGAAAAAATGAAAGGATGAAAGGATGAAAGGATGAAAGGATGAAAGAATGAAAGAATGAGAGAATGAAAGAATGAAAAAAATAAAAGGATGAAAGGATGAAAGGATAAAAGAATAAAAGAATAAAAGAATAAAAGAATGAAAGAATGAAAGAATGAAAGAATGAAAGAATGAAAGAATGAAAGAATGAAAGAATGAAAAAAGAAAGGTGGACATCCTTTGAATTGAAAGATATTTTCCTTTGTACCAGCAGTCGCTGTAATCCTTAACAAATAGAATCATAAAAAATTCAATCATCGAGAAACGAAAAAATAAACACAATAATATCCAATAAAATTTCTATAAATTAGAATTCAGATGTTAAAACTTATTTATGAGATGGCGCTTATCTACAACAGAAAACCTTTATATCCATACGGGAAACTTTTGAATTGAAGTGATTAAGTGCTTTATCTACGAAAACAGCTGATTCATAATTTCTCAATGGCCCTAGGAATAATTCTAGCCGCTTCTAATTGGTCGAACCTTTATCAAAAATCCAAGAGTCCGAAGATGTGAAGAATTTTTTTAAAATTGTTTTTGGCTGAAATTGAAAATTACATTTGAAACTTTTTTTGTTATTTTTTAAAGCGTTAAATCATTTGTAAGATTATTAAACTCCATTAAATAAATTGATTTTTCATCTTTTATATTCCTCTTTTGAGAATTCTACAGAGAATTGATCATTATACCAAAATTAAAGTTTAAAACTTCAAATTGTACTAAATCTATAATTTCCCAAGACATTTTTCCAATTCGTGAAAAATTCCCAAATGTATTTTTCTCCAACTTGGCGGATAGTAAACATTAAGAGGAAAGATTTTTTATAATATTTAATAAGTTCTAAAATAAGTTTTTGGTCCCAAAAATGTGTAAGGGCTGAGCGCTTCGGCTAGAACACTTAGGAAAGTGTCAAATGGGAAGTTACTGTAACTGAGGACAAGTTTCAGAAAAAAAGTTGAGTCTTTGGCACAAATATTTGTTATCCATTTTTAATTGTAAATATTTGACATTTTAAACTTAGGTTATTTGATCAAACAGAACCTATAATTTGAAATATCAGAGTTCTACAACATTGGCATGCAAAAATGAAGAAAATCAGAGTTTGTTACAAAGACTCTATTCCTTTATCATTTGATATAAACCCCAAACCTAAAAATCTACCTTTTCTTCTGAAACACTGGATTTAGGGGCTCTTGGACTTCTACTCCCAGCCAGGGCAGATACTCTACCCTTCAGTGCTCCAACATATCTAGAGAAATATGCTTTATTCTACCCTTCAATACTCCAACATATCTAGAGAAATATACTTTATTCTACCCTTTAGTGCTCCAAGATATCTAGAAAAATATGCTTTATTCTACCCTTCATTACTCCAACATATCTAGAGAAATATGCTTTATTCTACCCTTCAGTACTCCAACATATCTAGTTTCCCTTCATTACTCCAACATATCTAGAAAAATATGCTTTATTCTACCCTTCATTACTCCAACATATCTAGAGAAATATGCTTTATTCTACCCTTCAGTACTCCAACATATCTAGAGAAATATACTTTATTCTACCCTTCATTACTCCAACATATATAGAGAAATATACTTTATTCTGCCCTTCAGTGCTCCAACATATCTAGAGAAATATGCTTTATTCTACCCTTCATTACTCCAACATATATAGAGAAATATACTTTATTCTGCCCTTCAGTGCTCCAACATATCTAGAGAAATATACTTTATTCTACCCTTCATCTAGTGAAATATACTTTATTTTTCCCTTCATTACTCCAACATATCTAGAAAAATATGCTTTATTCTACCCTTCATTACTCCAACATATCTAGAGAAATATGCTTTATTCTACCCTTCAGTACTCCAACATATCTAGAGAAATATACTTTATTCTACCCTTCATTACTCCAACATATCTAGAGAAATATACTTTATTCTGCCCTTCAGTGCTCCAACATATCTAGAGAAATATGCTTTATTCTACCCTTCATTACTCCAACATATCAAGAGAAATATACTTTATTCTATCCTTCAGTACTTCAACATATCTAGAGAAATATGCTTTTTTCTACCCTTCAGTGCTCCAACATATCTAGAGAAATATACTTTATTCTACCTATTCACTATTTTGACACTAGCAATAAATCTTAGATAAAGTTTTCACCTGAGGGACGGACTTGAAACCTTCCTCTGGGTATTGTCCTAGAAATATCAAAATTAATTCAATTTTGAAATTCAAAAAGAGAATTTTTTTTGGCCATAAGCTCAAATTTTCTAAAACGTTTAACTTTGCAACCTGATGGTGTATGATATCGGGTTGCAAAATTATAGAGATTAGAAAATCAGAGCTTGTGGCAAAAACCTTTAATTCCTTTGATTTAATTGATTTGATAATAAAAAATAAATTGAATGAATATTATTGCATTTGATATTTCTAACTATGATTGGGTTTGTTTATTAAAATCTCGAGTTTGTGGCGAGTAATCAGTTCCTTTGTATTACCTCTCCTATTTTGATAAATTTGCTGATAGCGCTGGCAGTGGATACGATTTCATTCAATCCAGTACTCATTTCCTTATATGCTTCTTCAGTCCCTAGATTTGGATTTAGAGCTAATAATTTTTGAAGTGACAGGATTAGTTGAGTCAAATGAGTTAAACTACTTTTGCCACTGGTTATCTGAACTTTTTGTTTGATTAACTTAAGATGAGAAAATATGTCCGAACTCTTTTAATCTGATTAGAATTGTCAAATCAGTTCTAATTCTAAATCTCCAATTTTTATTCAGGCCGGGGGGGGGGGGCTATACAGGCTACATTTCAAAAATGGGAGAAGAATCTTCAGATATATTTAATGAGAAACTAAAATACATTTTTTGATAATTTATTCAAAAATAACTCAAATTTTGAAATTGTCAAGTTAGGTTCTAAATTGACACCAAATCAAATATTGGATAAATCAAACTTGAAACTATTAACTATTGAATACTACCTATTCCTTTTAAAATTTCCTCGTCTGTCAGCTCCCCTCGAACCAGGAAGAATAATCTTTGTCTTACTTCCTAATTATAATTTACATGGTTAAACGGATTATTTAATTATAGGGAGTTTTCGCGAAAAATGAAAGGGGGTGTAGACGCTACTAATCTTTCTTCTATCTGTTGCGTATATAAGGAGAAAATTTTTAAAAACGACTCATGCTGAAGAACGTAGCATCCATACAAATTCAGAAAGTTGCAACATTCACCTAGGATCGTAAAATAATCAATTTAATTCCAAACAAATAATTCAGATACAGGGTGTCCCAAAAAACATGGGAATTCAGTGACGAATTCGATATCGTCTTATAAAATAATTCTTTGATTTAGTATAGTAATACCTACTGAGAAAGCTGTAATCTGTAAGAGTTTCGTCTGCTATGTTTACATTTTGTTTGTTTATGTTTTGACTGCAACCGGTTGTACAAATTACAGTATACAAAGAGAGTAAACTTGTCCGTCTTCACTGTTCATCTTGTGGAGACATTATACACACATCTTTGCAGTCTTTTACCCTTTTCATTAAATAAACTCTAGCAGACATAATAATATTATGGCTTTTGAAATTAGGTATTACAATGCTAATTCATAACAAAGACGATATCGAATTCGTCCCTGAATTCCCATGTTTTTGGGACACCCTGTATTACAAACGAAAGCCATCGATTATTTTTCGACGCATTCGTATATAGTTAATATTTCATAATATTTTCGTTTCAAAAAAAAAATATTTTGCTGGCGTCGGATTACCGAACATTCCTGGAAATATGAAAATATCGTCTTCGTTATCGTTTTTTTTTTTTTCGCCGTAAGCCTATACCCTCTTTTATTTTTCATGAACCCTCCCTTTAATTTAAACATTTGGAATAGAGCTTCTAGCAATATTTCCCAAACATTTGAGAGTGAAACACATGTGTGTATAATAAGGTTGTTTACTCATTACTACGCATTAGCGCTCCAATGTACGGGAAATGTCGTCTCCTAAGCATAGATTGATAAAAACCCCATATGACGTCACGGATTAAAAAGGCATGAGTGACGTCATATGCGGATTTTATCTCAGTGGTCTGCAGTACTCTGACCGTAGAGTTTATTGGGTTTAGTGGAGAGTTGTTTATCTATGCGAAAGAGACGACATTTACCGTTTAATGGAGCACAACGAGAGTATACAACCTTATTATACAACCTTGGTTAAACCACATGCGATAGATACTTAGTAAAAGGTGTTTAAAGGGTTACGTTTTAAATGGGCATTCTCCTCTTAAAATAGAGCTAGAATCTCTTGAACAGTCTCTTTAAATAGAGCGAGGATCTCTTGAACAGTCCCTTTAAATAGAGCGAGGATCTCTTGAACAGTTCCTTGCTTGCTAGATAATTACGAAGGACAAGTCAAAGCAATTAAATAATTAACCCACCAATTCAGCATGATGGCAAGTCCGGTTAAATTTACAAGTTTGAGTTGCAGGGGCAGGGCATAGTAAACAAATGTCGTTTTTGTTTGTTAATTTTTTAAAAATATTTGATCCCTATATCATGCATTATATTTACATGGTTTGTACAATCTTTAAAAATATTTGATCCCTATATCATGCATTATATTTACATGGTTTGTACAATCTTTAAAAATATTTGATCCCTATATCATGCATTATATTTACATGGTTTGTACAATCTTTAAAAATATTTGATCCCTATATCATGCATTATATTTACATGGTTTGTACAATCTTTAAAAATTTACTTTGTGCAATAAATTCACCTTTTGTGAAGAATCAGTTTTTTTTTCTTCTTCTTTTTTCTTTTTCTTAAACAATCCTGCTTTAGCTTTCAGAGTCTGTAGTCCACCACTTTTTCCAACACTTGTCTAATAAATAAATTCTAGTTTTAACAAAAAAGAATTGGTTGTTATCAATCAAATCTATGACATAAAAAAATTGAGTCTTTGCTGCAAACTCTGATTTTCTAATCCCTATATATTTACAACACAATTTCCAAGATCTTAGATATTTCAAACTATTAATTATCCTAGATATAATAATAAAGTTTGAAATATCAAAGAAACACAGGTTGCAAAGATAAAGGGATTAGAATATTTGATTTTGTGGCAAAGACTCAATTCCCTTGAAGCTTGTCTGTTTTTTGGTTTAATTATCTATATATATAAAGTTGAAATCTCTCTTTGTCTGTCTGTCTGTTCGTCAGATCATAACTCGGGAACCCCTTGGAATGATTTGCCTCAAATTTGTATTGGGGAACTCAGGAGACCCAAGGGAATGTTCTTTTAGTAACCTTGGCAGCGCTGGGTTCCCAAGCTGGTATAAATAAAAAAAAATAAAAAAAACACAAAAAAAAAACAACAGAAAAATCTGCACATTTTTAATTATAATATTTAAAAAAAAGATCTTTCCATTTCGTGATAACTGTCTTTTTTAACAGATATATCTATAAATAAGATCTTTTACGCATTCAGGAAGCATGTGTTGTGGAAAAATTATATTTATAATTATTTCTAAACTTGATTTGATTTTCTAAAAAAAATATCACTAAGCCAACAAGTAGAAAATTGAATTTGGAGTCTGAAATAGGTAGAAAATTTCATGGCTCAATAAAAAAGTATTGAAAAGATATTTCTGACACCTCTAAGCTTAGCAATACAAAATAATTTACAAAGATAATACTGTAGACCTTCAAATTATCACTCAAGGGAATTATTATCCTTCAATCGAAACATTTAACAGGTTCTTTAAAGATAAATAAAACAAAAAACACATATAAGACGTCTTCGTTATATCTTTCAATTAAGAAACGTTTTATGATTTGAAATAACTCTTAACATGTGCATTGAAAATATAGCCATCATTATAGATTATATAATCTTTAGCTTTGTTTCGTATCAAAAGATTAAAATAAGATTGAGTTTATTCAGCATAACCTTGGCTAAAGATGGAGTACTTGCTGTAGTTGAAGGTGAAGATTTTCTTGATCTCATCCAACCACCAGATAATGAAGAACCACCTTATTATTCGATGTTTAGAACTTTCCCAAAGGCATTTTCCCAAGCGGAAACTTCGCAAGGGTATTTTCTTAAGAGGCAACTTCCCAAATATGCAATTTCCCAAGTGGCAACTTCCCAAGTGTGCCCTAGCCGCAGCACTCGGCTTCTAGACTATTAAGCCGCAGCGTTCAGCGGCCTAGACCAAACCTAGAAAGTTGCCGCTTGAGAAATTTCACATTTGGGAAGTTACCTTTGGAAATTACCTTTGGGAAAATACATATTATTCAACTGAAAGGAACTATACACGTAATAAAATAAAGTTAAAAAGAGGGACATTCACAACGGCAGCCTTATATTAACTCATGAAATCATGAAAAAAACTTTCCTTCATAAAGTTTTTGCCACAAACCAAAATTGTCTTGTCATTATATCTTTGCAACCTGATGCTGTAAACCTATTGACTCCACTGAGTTCAAAGTTTAAAATATAAGATGTCTAGAACATCAGGGTGCAAAAATATAGGGATAAAAATCATTTCCTTTTTTGCTTTTGTTTTGTAAATTTATCTATTAAAACCGGAAAATCTGGAGAATTTATGGCGGCATTAAAAGCAATATTTAAAGAATGTCTTGTTTAATAGATTTTAACAAACGTTCTATCCCGCATTAATGCTCAACATTCATTTCAAAGCAATTTTCTGTGTCATACCAAATTAGATAAAATATTTGATCGTTTTTAAAATATTTGTTGAGTAATCTAAAACTTAGATTACTCGTTCAGTGGAGTGAGGTCACTGAACTAAATACCTAGCGCAGGTTCAACTAGTTTTTAAGTTCTCACTGGCTCAAAACCAGAACTACCGATTAAAGTTCTATTAAAAGGTACATGGTTGAACTGCTTCAGCGGAAATCAACGATTTCTCACAATTCATTAAATTTGGCCCCGATTTTCCAAACTTGAATTTATTCCTCAAAAAATCCCGATCTGAAAATTGTCCCGAATAAAATTGACAAAGGTATTTATATTATAGAATTAGTGTTTCAATATTTTAAAAACAAACCAGAGCTGGAAACTAACTATTGTCAGTAGTCACTGCAGATTAATTGATCTCGATCCTTTGTTAATCTTCGAAAGTTAGCTTTCAACCAACGAGACAACAGAGAATTTAAGGATCACAAAAATCAATACATTCTGCGTAGAATTCAAAAGTGGCCACTTTGGATATCGAGATCAAACAATCAGTTACGAGTGTTAGTACCCATAGATTCTCTAGGAGAGGATGGTTTACTGGCTCCTCCTGTTGGACTCGACACCCTGGATAAAAGATAGGATTATCATGGATTTCAAAAATAAAAGGGTTATCCTGGATTTCAAAAATAAAAGGGTTATCCTGGATTTCAATAATAAAAGGATTATCCTAGATTTCAAAAATAAAAGGGTTATCCTGGATTTCAAAAATAAAAGGATTATCCTGGATTTCAAAAATAAAAGGGTTATCCTGGATTTCAATAATAAAAGGATTATCCTGGATTTCAAAGATAAAGGATTATCATGTATTTCAAAAATAAAATGATTATCTTGGATTTCAAAGATAAAGGATTATCATGGATTTCAAAAATAAAAGGATTATCCTGGATTTCAAAAATAAAAGGATTATCCTGGATTTCAAAGATAAAGGATTATCCTGGATTTCAAAGATAAAGGATTATCCTGGATTTCAAAGATAAAGGATTATCATGGATTTCAAAATAAAAGGATTATCCTGGATTTCAAAAATAAAAGGATTATCTTGGATTTCAAAGATAAAGGATTATCATGGATTTCAATAATAAAAGGATTATATTGGATTTCAAAGATAAAGGATTATACTGGATTTCAAAGATGAAGGATTATCCTGGATTTCAAAAATAAAAGGATTATCCTTGATTTCAAAAATAAAAGGATTATCTTGGATTTCAAAAATAAAAGGATTATCCTGGATTTCAAAAAGGGTTATCATGGATTTCAATAATAAAAGGATTATCTTGGATTTCAAAGATAAAGGATTATCATGGATTTCAATAATAAAAGGATTATCTTGGATTTCAAAAATAAAAGGATTATCCTGGATTTCAAAATAAAGGGTTATCATGGATTTCAATAATAAAAGGATTATCTTGGATTTCAAAGATAAAGGATTATCATGGATTTCAATAATAAAAGGATTATCTTGAATTTCAAAGATAAAGGATTATACTGGATTTCAAAGATAAAGGATTATTATCGATTTTAATAATAAAAGGATTATCTTGGATTTCAAAGATAAAGGATTATACAGGATTTCAAAGATAAAGGATTATCATGGATTTCAATAATAAAAGGATTATCTTGGATTTCAAAGATAAAGGATTATCATGGATTTCAATAATAAAAGGATTATATTGGATTTCAAAGATAAAGGATTATCCTGGATTTCAAAATAAAGGATTATCATGGATTTCAATAATAAAAGGATTATCTTGGATTTCAAAGATAAAGGATTATCCTGGATTTCAAAATAAAGGGTTATCGTGGATTTCAATAATAAAAGGATTATCCTGGATTTCAAAGATAAAGGATTGTCATGGATTTCAAAATTAAGGATTATCATGGATTTCAATAATAAAAGGAATATCCTGAATTTCAAACATAAAAGGATTATCTTGGATTTCAAAGATAAAGGATTATCATGGATTTCAATAATAAAAGGATTATCATGGATTTCAAAAATAAAAGGATTATCCTGGATTTCAAAGATGAAAGATTATCCTGGATTTCAAAAATTAAAGGGTCATCCTTGATTTCAATAATAAAAGGATTATCATGGATTTCAAAAATGAAGGGTTATCCTGGATTTCAAAAATAAAAGGATTATCTTGGATTTCAAAAATAAAGGATTATCATGGATTTCAAAATAAAGGGTTATCATGGATTTCAATAATAAAAGGATTATCCTGGATTTCAAAAATAAAAGGATTATCTTGGATTTCTAAAAGAATTATCCTGGATTTCAAAAATAAAAGGATTATCTTGGATTTCAAAGATAAAGGATTATCGTGGATTTCAAAATAAAGGGTTATCATGGATTTCAATAATAAAAGGATTATCTTGGATTTCAAAGATAAAGGATTATCATGGATTTCAAAGATAAAGGGTTATCATGGATTTCAATAATAAAAGGATTATATTGGATTTCAAAGATAAAAGATTTATCTTGGATTTCAAAGATAAAGTGGTTAAATCAAGTTTTTTTCATTAAAAATGAGTTTTAAATTGTGATTAAAAAACAATTAACTATAATCTCACGAAACAGTATGCCGTATTTTTGTTGAAAGATTATGCATATCAGTTGAGGGGAACACCTATTCCAAACTCCAATTTTCGGATACCAATATCTATGAAACCTGATGGCGTAAATCATTCATATTATTTTAGCTAACAAATTCATAGTTTGTAGCTAGCTAAGGTCTAAATGATCAGGTTTGGAGAATAGAGTTCCTCTAGCTAGCTAGCTGAGGAGTCTGACATTGATCCTCTTCTATCCTTTATCCTATACCTGGAGCTAGCTGAGGAGTCTGACATTGATCTTCTTCTATCCTTTATCCTATACCTGGAGCTAGCTGAGGAGTCTGACATTGATCCTCTTCTATCCTTTATCCTATACCTGGAGCTGACATTGATCCTCTTCTATCCTTTATCCTATACCTGGAGCCAGCTGAGATTGATCCTCTTCTATCCTTTATCCTATACCTGGAGCCAGCTGAGATTGATCCTTGTCTATTCTTTTTCCTATACCTGGAGCTAGCTGAGATTGATACTCTTCTATCCTTTATCCTATACCTGTAGCTAGCTGAGATTGATCCTCTTCTATCCTTTATCCTGTACCTGGAGCTAGTTGAGATTGATCCTCTTCTATCCTTTATCCTATACCTGGAGCTAGCTGAGGAGTCTGAGATTGATCCTCTTCTATCCTTTATCAAAGCTCCAATCTTTCCAAGTTTAGTTTTCCCCACCAGCCTCATAGCTGTTGGTATTCCTACAGAATATAGAGTTTAAAACTTTTGAATCAGTTTCTGGGAAGCTTAATTTAACATTTATAAAAAGTTTTTTTTTTAACATCAAGGATTATATGAAGGTTTAAGAAGTTTTGGGGAAATTTGTAATAAGAAAAAAGAACATTGTAAGAAGAATAGTATCAAAAACATAGAAACACACATTAGAGATTAAAACTAAGAAACTGAATAATCGCCTCATACTTTTCTATTCACTATATCTTTGGAACTTGACAGTGTAAACAGCGCGATAATATTTCCAACTATTTGAACTGATAGAATTTATAGTTTGAAATATCAAGGGTTTACGACATTAGGTGACAATGATATGAGATTAAAATTTTTGGTTCTGGTCCTTTGTTTCATTTTCTAAGGCCGAAATTTAAAGAATTTAAGCCGCGTCGCTGAACCGCCTAAAACCGGTTCCGATTAAGCGCCGGCTCAAATCTCGAATACAATTTCAAGTGGATTAAACCATGTTTGAGCCGCCTCTCAAATTTCAGACGCAGCTCAAAATCTTTAAACTCGGCCTCTGTTCTACAAAATTTAAAGATGAAGAAGAGGTTCCAATTATGCGTCCAACTGCATTATGTATTAATACTGAGTACTCGCACTGACATCATTACTCACGTCCCCCTTCCACTACATGAATACATTCATAAAACAGAGAATATTAACAGATATCTTATATCTACATATTATTTCTATATCTAAATATACATTTTATTTGGCTTATCTTTTTGTTTGTTTAAATCTAATAAACGGTCAAACGGCTGAACTGATTGGGTCCATTTTTTGTGTGTCCTTATATAACTGATCCAGGAATGGGTTATTTATATATATCTATATATAAAGTATTTAATCTCTGTTTGTCTGATTATATCTCACCAACCCCTGGACCGATTTGCCTCAAACTGTGATTTGGGTATCTCGGTAGAACCGTGGAAATGTTCTAAGCTTGGTTTATAAATTTAAATTGACTGTGTTGACTTTACTTCAAGGCAAAGCTGGGTAACCAAGAAAGTGTCTTATATGAAAGTTGTTTCCAAAAAATTCCTGAACTGTTTAATTATATTAATTTGTCAATAATCCGCGAAGGAACGGACTGTACAAAATTGTGACTTCCAATATTTTTGCAACCTGATGTCGAAGAGCTCTGATAATTCAATGTTAGATAAAATAATTTAAATTTGAGTTTGTTAGAAGTACTCAGTTCCTTTATTCCTTTTATTATTTTTTTTATGTAGCTTGGGAACCCAGCTTTTCCCGGAGTTTACCATACAACAGTCAACTCGCTCAACTAAGAATTTTTAAACCTACTTAGAACATTCCCGTGGTTCTACCGAGTTCCCCAATCAAAATTTGAGGCAAATCCGTTAGTGGGTATTGAGTTATGGATCGGACATACAAACAAACAGAGATTACTTCTTTACATATATCTATATATATGATATATAAACAGAGTCGTTTTTCTGTTTGAACAATTTATCAGTACAGTACGGTACAAGCGAATGTAATATGTTAATATAGGCCTAACTTACTATAAGGTGATTGGGAGATTTAAAAAATGGTTGACAAAAATTCGAGACACTTAATTCAAAATGATCAATAAAGGACCCTCCAGTTAAGGAAGTGTAACTTTGAAACCTTAATCTGATCAACAATGTGTAAGATAACATAGTTTTCGAACTTAAAAAATTAATTCTGATTTCAAAAAAACATTATTGTCTAATTCATACTTGAAAAAGTTTTTAACGATATCTCTGTGAATAAGACATTTGTTTAAGAAACGCGAATATAAGATGCCAAGTCCATTAGCGCCTGATCTATTCAGGGTTCAGTCATGTATTTGTTGTCTATTTTAAACCAATAGAAATAGCATGGCGGTAACATCTATCTTTCTATCTATCTCATTATCCAATCAGAGTTATGAATCCTTCAATCGGCGCTATCAGTAAATTGAAATAATTACTTCTAAAAACTATAACGAGTTTACCCAGGGGGGATGATAGTTCTCTACCTGTGTGCACAGTTAGCTGTACATTACACTTACAACTGTTCACTAATATTAAAATACAATGGGTTAGGCCAGAATCAACTTATAATAAAAAAAATATGCAGTACGCTCTCGGTATAGTTTATGGCCTTTACAATTAGTAAAGGATTAGTGTACATCATCCCTCTATACACTATAATATCGTTGAGTTTACCACACACTGCATTATATTATAACTATACAGAGCATTGAAATTACTTTTATTTGTAAATTTAGTTGTTTTATTTTCAATTTGGTTTGGTAAAATTCTATTTCTGCCAGTTCATTTCTCGTTCTATTCCATTAGTTACCAATTGCTAATGACCAATTTTGTTAATTGATTTCCATTTGTTTTGTAGAGTAACAATGATTTAATCTAAAAAATGAATATTTCTAAATTTTTGATAATTAAGACAATCTAACAGAATTTATAATATGAAATATCTAAGATACTAAATTGGGTTGCAAAGATTTTATGTTCTGTTTGATAGCATTTTTTATTTTTTTGTTTGTTTGATAAGAGATAAAACATTAAATTAAATCCAAAACATAAAATTAGATTCAAACCGAAAACGATTATTAGTATTCCAAATGATAAGACAATTTAAATCAGTTGGTGGGATTCAGCTGAATCTGAAAAAGTGAGACAGTCATGGATTAAGCATGGGTCTAAAAAGGTCTTATAATATTGAGAAGAAAAAAAGAGGTTTTTATTTTTTTCCTAAAATTCTAAATGGATAAAAACTGGAGGGACCTCCCCCCACCCACACAACAGCCTTTTCAGAATTTCAACTTATCAACCAATTTATTAATTTCAAGTTGTGCAATTAACTTAATTAATAATTAATATCTTATCTTTTCAAAACAGATAACCCGGTTTTAACTTTGAAACAAATAAGTAATAAGTTCCGAAAATCGTAAATTGAATTTTGAAGAAAAGAAATTTCGAATTATGAAAAAAATACTTTTTTTTAGCCTATGTTACCCCATGGCGGGGTACATGTTAATAAATGTCAGCTAATTTGGTTCAGTCGTTTGGCTAGCTATAGTAAAAATCGTAAATTGCAAGTCGATATTTATAGCTACGTTGTGGTCAACCTTCTTCTTACATGGAAAAGTTAATATTAAAGTAATATCAAATGTGGTGCTGTGGAGTATAATTCCAAATGCATAAATGTAGTTTGGATAAATCGGTAGAATATCTAGAACTCCAGGATTATAAAGATATGTGTTTTGCTTAGAGCTTGGGGAGCATTGTTATTTTTACTCAAGTTAATCTTTTGTTAAAGGGACTGTAAAGTAAAAATAAAATGGGATATAGGCTGAAACCTAAGCATTTTAGGAGTTGATCGAGAAATTGATATAAAACTTTGTCAATTTATACTGGTCACGTGATACAGACGGAGACGCATGACAATAATACTGCACTGTCATTGGTGGGAGTTCTGGTCACATGATACAGACGTTTAAATAATATTATTAATTATATCTATTAAAAATGAAAAATTATTAAATTCAAATAATAATAGAAGCAAACCTATGTTCGTTAGGCTTCTCGGGGCTATCGTCGTTTTCAGATTGGTTGCGTATTTACTGAATATGATCTGTTTAAACCTACGATTTTTATACAAATTGTATATACATAAATTTTCTTATAAATTTGAAACATTTTTATATCAAGTTCAAAAGTTGAGGATCGTAAATTTCGTAAATACAATTCTATTTGTATCGTTAAAATCTCGGGAATTATTTGTAGTAATATTGTAATAAAACCAATTCTAACAGAGTTTTCCATATTTCGAATTGACTCCGGTACTTTCGGTTCATCACTATATTAGAATTTCTTCTGACAGTGTGCAAGCGAATGATATCAGATTTCCAAAAAACTTTTTATTTCATTCCTAAAGTATATTTTGTTTCAGCCCACATAGAAAAATTTCCTAATATCAACCTTGAGTGAACTTGATTTTAGAAGATTTATTTTTTCAATTTCAAGGATTGTCTTATGACTGTTACTTGTTAAGCTAAAGTTTTAAATTGTACAACATTTTTGTTTTATTCCATGTTTTTTTATATTTCAAGTCGGGATACTTTTTCTTTTTAGATCGTGTGCAGAAAATGAATTTCAAAGAAAATTATCTCTTAAATTTTCCTGAATTAAAAATTACTGAACATGAAAATTAAATTAAAATTAAATTACAAGAAAACCACTCTCAAGTTCTAGACAGCAATAAATACGATCATTTGTAAATTGTAATTATTGTAATTGTGTAATTATATTGAAAATATATGGAAAGTTGTCCCGGTTTCAAAAATTTTGTAAAGGTTGGAAAACTGAAGAAGCTTGAAAGTTCTAGTACAAATAGATTTTAGTTATAAGGAAAATACCATAAAGGTGGTTGGAAAACACCTCCTTCCTGGATAGGATATGGTTAAAAAGGTTTATTTTGACCCAAAAGTTTAAGGTTTTGCAATTCATTAATTTTTAGTTTTTTTTAGCCAGAAGGTCCAGTCCTAGACTTTTCAATTCTACTTCTCCAATTCTAACTTTTACTATGAAAAGAATCATTCAAAGAAAGGAACTTCGAACAAACTATTTTAAGTAACTTCTCGAAGGATTTCCGTCCGTATCATGTGACCAGTATACTGCACTGCCATTGGCTGAAGTTCTGGAGACGTAATACTGACTATATATACCCCATTTCATTTTTCCTTTACATTCCCTTTTATCTAAATTATTTTCATCTCGTCCCGATGAACCGTCGGCAAAATCGTGTCTTTTTTAAATTTTATTCAGGGACAGAAGCAATTATACCATTTTAAACATTAGCTTTAAACTAGGAACAGGATACTTTCAGAACTGATTGGTTTCGTCCCGATGGACTGTCAGAAAAGTCGAACTTTTCATCTTATTTCAGAATTAGCTGTAAATTTAATTAACTTGAGGTT